TCTTTTTGGATAGTTTTTTTTATTTTTTTAATTTTGATCTAAATTTTCAACATCGTACTTTTTGTGATAAAAAACGACTTCTTTAGCTGTTTTTGGGTTTGTTTTGATTTTTTTCATCAAAACGGCATGTTACTATGATGATGTGATTTTTATATAGAAAAGGTTTTTTTGGTATCTAGTGGGAGACGATGTTTTGATAGGATGTTTATACATTTTGGATTCGGAAGATTAAATATAAGGGCACATAGATGCATATATTGCATGTCAATATAAATTGAACCGATTACCGTCAGTTTCGTTTTTTTTTTGAATTGCAATGAAAAACGGATGACCGTTTTAGCGGTGGGAGTGAAAAACGGATTACCGTTGTTGGACACGGTTTAATCGATCACTGCAAGCAAGTCAGAAGGCCATGTTCAGTCAGCCACCAGCACGGCACCGTGCAACCACCAAGGACAGACACATCGATCACTTGCCATTCCCCGGTGCAGCGGCAACGCTTGCACCAAGGAATGGCCAGCCGCACTGCAGTGAGCAGTTCGTAGATCAAGTGCACTTTGCCCTCTTGCATGGCGAAGAACTGAACGACACCGGCTTGATCATCCCACAGGATTGGCATGCCAGGCTTCAAAAGGAGATTCTGGAGTCGGTAGCTTTTGCTCACAGCAGCGTGAAAACCTGGGCAGGCTGTAACTACCTGCTCTTCAGAGTAGACTGGTGGAAGCAAGCGGTTCATCCAAGGCTCTGCACACAATTCCTCTGTGTTTTGCAGCAGCATTCTTCCCAGGAGTGCCAAGCTCAACTTTCCAGTACCCTGTTGATATAGTCCGGCATGGGTCTGGGCCAGAGATTTTTTGTAGCTCTGGTGCTTCTTCTCACATGGGAAAGAATCGCTGTATCCCTTCTCTTTGTAGATCTGCGGCAAATGCAACCTCAAGTGATGCTTTGGTCTCATGGCTTCACCATACCTTTCCGAAAACAGCTTCTGATGTTCGATCTGGCTTTGGTCCAACCAATTATAGTTAGTTCCTCCAGATCGAATTGCCCGTAGAGCGTAGTGAGTATTAACCAGAGCTGCGAAGCATCGCCATTCAGGGCATGTGTGATCTGTCAAAAGCTCATGCAAGTGAAAGTGCAACCAAGGAAGCAAATACCAAACCTGAGATGCAGATCCTTTAAACAGATCTCCTGTCCAGAAACTGGGCTGAAACAGAAAAGACCGTCCGCTCGGAGAGTTAAAGTGTTCATCGCGAGACTTCCAATCGACTTCCCGGATGCTTTGACGCAAGAGGTCTGTGGTGATGTTGTGCTTACTTTGCATGAATTGCATCATCAGCATCATCTCCTGAGCGGCGATGCCATTGGCATAGTAGCAGTGAGTTGAATCAATCACCACATGGCTCAGATTCAAAAGTTGCCGCAAGCGTTGATCTGCGAACAAGCAGTTCTTGTTGATGAGGAAACCAAAGAATTTCTCTCTTTCCTTCAAGCGGGTCTTTGTCAAGTGCTCTGCGTTCTGTAAGCTGTCATCGTAGATAGTGAAGAACTCATCCATATTGTAGCCAATGAAGCGAGCCGGCTCAGAAGAGCTGATGGTCACGAAGAAATCGTCTGCTTCTGCCTCTGGCCGTGCTTTGCTCAGAACATTGGAGCATAGGGCACACGGTTTCAGACCAGCCGCTCCTTTTGTTGAGAACACCAACCGGATGGCATCGTAATCACCTAGGAAACTTTGAAGAGTAATGGAGAAGCGGCGACCATGCAAGACACACGTGTTTAACTTCTGATCAAGCCAATCGTGCAAGATGGCTCGAGTTACAGCTGCCATGTCAGGAGCATTATCATCTGCGAGATCTTTGGCTGGAATGCAAGCCCATGGGAGAAAGGCAGTGGAGGAATGGAGATATCCAAGTTCTCGGATGCATACATAGAAGAAATACATGCGCTTGTTCGAAGCGGTTGCTAACACGTTTCCTCCAGTGCATTCGTCCATGTACAGAATCACGTTGAGTTTGTTCCCAGGAATCTGCAGTAGAGCTTCTTTGTGCCATTCTGCATGTTCACCAATGTAATGCATGATTTTTGCGAAATCTCCAGAGGCAAACTGTATTGTTGTTCCATCATCACTTTGCGCGTTAAGCATTCGGAAACATTGCCGGGAGGGTTCAGTGATAGCCTTTATTTTTCTTTTTTGACCTCCGGATGGACCTTTTTTTTTTCTCTTGATCATTGAAAATTTCCGAAAGCCGATTGATCACGGCCAGTGGAGCAATTGACAAGGCTTGTCTCCATTGCGAGTCGGATGCTTTAGCCGTATTCATCATGCGTGCCTATATATGTAAGTACTGATTTGCTTCCCCTTGTCTTTGTGACACTTACTCTTTGTATATCTACTTCACATCCACTTTTGATTGGATCGAGTCGTGACATGCTGCGATTTCTGCTCGAAACCTTCGAGACTTTCAATTAGATCAATATATCGATCTGATATCTGCGCCACTTGATTCGTGTATATATGGCATTTTGCTTCGATGCGTTGCATTTTTTCTATTCACTGGAGCCATCCTGATTGTTGGGATGTCTCCTCCCTAATTTCTTGCACTGTAGAAATGAAGATGGGACTAACTGCACTGTCAGACGGACGACCGTCGTAGTTCGACAGCGATGTCGTTATCCAGACGGAAAACTCTTTCAATGTTACGATTCGACGGATCACCGTCATATAACTCTACAATGCGATTTATTCTGTATATATGTTTCTACTTCAGCGTCTGTCAACCTGCGTGCTGTTGAACAAACTGAACAGCGATGAGCGGCGCATACTTTTTTCCACTGCTTTCTCTGGCGTTTTCGCCACCACTCTTGGCTGCGCTCTTTGGCCCCGCGACCTTGCTTCCTGACGACGTTAAAGACTGTCCGTTCATATTCGCGACGATTGCTGAACCAGCCATCGAGGTCTTCATCTTGCCATTCAAATCGGTCATACTCACAGCGTTCCTTGGTGCGAACCGGGGGTAGCTCAGGCTCCGGAGGTCGCATGCTACCACTGGAACTGCTAGCGCCACTGCATGCCTGTGCAGCTGACTGCCTCCAGGAACTCCACGTTTGCCATGTTGTATCCTCTTCTGTCCACTGCTGCCAATGTTGTGTCTCAACTGGCTGCTCGTTGTTTGGCATTGCTGGAACTGCTTGAGTTGCCGGTGTTGTCGTGGGTGAAACGTCGTGAGGCCATGTGCCTACTGGCTGCTCGTTGGTTGCCATTGCTGGTGCTGCTTGACTGGCCGCTGCTGCGGTAGGTGGAACGTAGTGAGGCCAGGGTGACGAAGTTGGAACGCCTGCCGATGGAAAAATTGCAGGACTTGGAGCGACTGGGTGCAGGGATCCCCCTGATGAATTGCCTGGCTCCATCGCCAGTCGCGCAGCAATGGCCTGCTGCAGCAGTGCATTCGTCACCGCCTCCGCAACCCGTTCAACCAGTTGTGGCGGTTCCTGGGGCTGCCTCACTCCTGCGAGTTGGAGACCCACTCGGATGGCCGCGTCTCCCGGCGGGCTTGGACTGCGATCGAGATATGGGTCATCGCAGGCATCGGAGGCCTCGGTGTCGCTGTTGTCAGCCATGCCGATGAGTCGGTGTAGCAAGAAAAATATGCTTTTCTATAACCATGCATTGCTCACAGCGTGTGTCTTGTTTGTTTTTGTCTTTGTGTGTGTATGTCAATTTGACTTCTTGATTGGATATGATACTTGCTAATGTTATTTTGACATCCATATAAAAACAAAACATAGCCTGATTGTATATACCACGTTTCCTGTCACGTGGTTGACCCCGCTGCAGACGCATGCACCGAGCTATGAAATTTGTCCTTGGCCTGAGACGGATGACCGTCTTCCACCCATGCCTGTGTATGGATTCGTGCGTGGATCTCATGTCTGGACGGATTACCGTCCAAGAGGGCACTTCTATACGGTTTGTTCTCATATAATTATCGCAAAAGATGCGCTCTCTTTTTCCTCCAGGTTCGATCCTCTATGATGGCGTGACGTTATTGACGTTGTAAGCTAAGACTGCGCAATATGCGGAAATCCATTTCCAAGCTTCACATGTTGTCTCCAGGGGCAAATCTTCACGTAACTCCGTCAAAAACTGCATAGCACTGGCAATGTTCTCGCCAAACGCCTGACGATTGCCACTTTCGATTCTCCACACTGGGTTGGGTTCCACCTGTGGCATTGACAGCAGCGGTAGTTCGATCAGTACACCACGTTTGTCCACAGAGCCGAAGTCATCCATGTGCTCGAGTAGAGCAATGATTCGGCGCAGCAGCTGCCTCGAAAACGACATGCACAGAGCGTGGTCTTTGTACTCGTCATTCACAGTGACAGTCTCATAAATCTGTAGTATGTTCCGAAAGGCATCAATGAACGTCCTCAGGCGATCGGCATTGGGGGAGAGACTTTGTAAGCCAGCTACTGTCATGGCAGCTATCTCTGCCGATTCGAGCCGCATGGTGCATGAGCTGCGAAGCAATAAAATCGCCGGATTGAGCTCTCCATTCCAAAAAAACAAAGACACACGACCATCTTGTACAGGCGGCGCCAACTGAACGCTTCAAATGTGTTCACCGGTGCATTGTCTCGACGGATAACCGTCTTGTAGAGCCGTATGCAGTACGTGCATTTTTTCCACGTGCAGGATACACTCCTTGGAAATCTAAACTATCACATTCTCTCTGCTTGAATCTAGATATATTATATATTGTGCAAAAACCAGATTGCTTAGCTATATCTGGCAATCCTTCGGACCAAAGCAGACGGACTACTCGTCTCCGGTCCCCTTGGTAGTATTTTTGCCTCTGATGCACATTCGTTAGTTCGCTCGGTCTGGAATTTTATCCTGTGATGACATCCGACAGGATTCCATGCGCTGCGCGCTGTCAGCGTCTCGTCACAAAATTGGTCTTCTACATATATAGAAGCATCTCTCAGGCTTCTTGAAAGATCTACTTGCCAAGGTTTTTCTTGGCAATTTGCAGCGCCTTGCAGCATTCTTGCAAGGATTTAATTTCACTCTGGAGCTCTTTCTCAGATGTGATCGCGACAGTGACCCCGGCTTCCCCATTTTTCTTGCACGTGAAGGTGACATCGGTGAAGTTCACAGCAGCGTTCTGCCCAACCTTCAACATGATCTGCTGGAAGCTGTGAACCATCTTCTCCAAGCGCAGTTTGTTCTCATGCATCAAACGAACGGTCATTTCTGGCAGCTCCTCCTTCTTTGGCTCCAAGGCCTTGACTAAGTTCTCCAGTCTGTTTGACACAGGCTGCAATGCTGGCAAAGCTTTGCCAGCTAGCATAGACACTGTCTTGTGTTCTTTCTTCAACTCCTGTTCACGCTTCCTCTGTGCCTGCTTGTCGGCGTTGCCGCGGCTTGCCTTTGGAAGGACTATCTGCACGTCATCGTCTGACGCACACTCCAAGTCCACAATGGTCTGCAACACCCCATCATCTGCTAAGGCCTGAGCGGACGGCTCTTCGATCATCGGAGCGTCCTCCTTGCCCTTGCCTTTGCCTCGGCCCTTCACACGCTTGGCTCCATTGCTGCCAGCGTGCTCCGTGGTCGTGCGCTTGTGACTCACACGTTGCTCTAACTCAACCATTTGACTCTCCGCCTCTTCTTCTGCATGGGTCTGCTTGATGGTGACAAGGTCCACACGGTAGACGGTACCGAAGACTGGGCAGGTCATGGCGAATCCTTTCTCTTGAACTGCGACGGGATCATACCCATTCTGGGACCACCAGGACAATGGTTGATAGGTCCCGCCAGCACTGCGCTTCGCCACGTCTGTGATGCGTTTCTGGAAGTGCTTCAACAAGTTGGAGCGCACAACCTCGTACTTGAGAATGCCACCATTCTGTTTGCGCTCCTCCAGGGCTCGTTGAAAAAAACCGGTCACCTCATCCTTCGACATCTTCGAAAAAACCTCGGTTGGGCTCACGTGGTACTTCAAAAGACTCAAAAGCGATCGGCAAGATTTGCACTCCACTTGCTTGGTGTGCTCGTTCCGTTTCGCTGCCATTTCGGACTCGGCAACAGGCAAGGAACACCGGTCGCACGTGACGAAACCCTCAGGAGCTTCTGATGCAACAAGAGCTTGGGGCTGGTCAGCCATGGTTGCGAGCGGGTGATGATGGATGTCTTGGGCAGCTCGCAGCGACTGAGAAGGGGAACATGCATTGCTCTGCCCCGGTCTGCACCGTGTCTGCCCCGTGTCTGCCCCGTGTCTGCCCCGGTCTGCCCCGTGTCTGCCCCGTGTCTGCCCCGTGTCTGCCCCGGTCTGCCCCGTGTCTGCCCCGTGTCTGCCCCGTGTCTGCCCCGTGTCTGCCCCGTCTCTGCCCCGTCTCTGCCCCGTCTCTGCCCCATTCTGTGATTGAATTCTGTGACATGCGGAAGACGGATGACCGTCGTTTGGACGGATCACCGTCATGGTTCCGAAGCGGTTGTCCGCGGTTATTCGCTGTGTTTTTCCTCCCGCTGCACGGAATCACTGGTGAAAGTGTTTCGACCATGGGCTGGTGCCATCCTGAGGACGGGTCCGCCGTTCTGGCGTCTTGGGCGGATCATCCGGCACGTCCTTCTTGGGCACGTTCTTGCCGCTTGGCTTCTTGAACACCTTCATGGTCCGAGGTGCCCCTTTCTTTTGCTTCTTCTGGATTATCTTCTTGGCGTTGGCTTTCCTTCCTTGTTTCTTTGGCATCTCCTTCTTCTTGGGTTTGCTGTTCGTATACTCCGCGGAGGCGATCAAAAAACGCCAGGCAACATTGGAAGGCATGACTGGGTGCTGCGAGTTCCGGGGCGCTCTTGGGTGCAGCTGCTGCAAGGTCTCTTCAGGTTCGTCTGCGTGTTGATATCACTACAGTCAGAATTGCACATGGGACCAAAAAAAATATGGGTGGCACAACCATCCTAATAGACACCAAGATGGCACAACCATCTTGACACCAAGATGGCACAACCATCTTGCTGCTATATTTCGCAAAAATAAATCACTAATAGATGGAACTACCATCTTGCTGATGCCAATTGTGTATATATATACCGGGAATACAACATAGACGGATGACCGTCTGGACGGAGTGTCGGGAAGGGGGAGTCACGCAGCTTTTTTTTTGCCTCCCTTTGCTGCTTGGCGCTTTCGCCACCAGTCTTGTCGCTTCTCCATGGCTGCTTGGGATGGCTGCCGCTTCACGTCGTAGACGACCCTTTCACATTCTCTTCGAGAATCAAACCAACCTGTTTCGTACCACTCCTCACGGTCGTACCCAGGCTCTTCACACCTCTGCTTCTTGCGTTGAGCCGGATGAGGTTCAGGTGCTTCGTCTGCAGGAACGTGCAGCCACTCTGTCTCTGTGGTCACGACACCAGCGCTACGCAGCACCCCAGTTCTGCGACTGAATATGGCAGAGGAAGTAGCAGCCTGGGAACCCAAAGCCTCACGCAACATGCTCGTGAGCTCGGGCAGCGTGCGTTCCAGATAGGCATCCGCACTCTCCGCTGTGCCCCAGTCCTGCACTGACGCACTTGTCGCTGGAGCACCACCATCAGACGGAACTGCTGTTGCCTCTACGGTGTTGCTGGAGGCAACGCAAGACTCAGGTGCCACTGTGGCACGCCGTTGTGGAAGAGGTCGAGGTAACGGTTTCACCTGCACTGACTCGCTTGTCTCTGGAGCAGCACCATCAGGAGGAACTGCTGTTGCCTGTACGGTGTTGCTGGAGGCAACAGAAGACTCAGGTGCCACTTTGGCACGCGGTTCTGGAAGAGGTCGCGGTAACGGTTTCACAGGGATGTGGCTCCGCAGGAAAGCTCGAAGAGTCGCATCATCCGGAACTGTGCTAGTTTCCTCCAAAGGTAAGGACATAGGCAAACGGGCACTGGCGGCCCACAGAGCATCCTGCAGCACATCATCAGCAGGCATCTCATCGGACATGGTCGATTTAGTGCTGCTCATGGCTGGACTAGTTGGACTGCACGGCATGCTTAACAGAGTGGCGCTGACCGTCTATATCTACGTGCGCATTAGAGTTCAGCGACATTTTCCCATATGTAACTGCAACAGCACGAAATGCTGAATATATAACAACATAGTTGCTTTGCTGTAAATGTGTTCTGAAAACAGAGATGTATAACGGTAACCCGACACACTCTGAGCATAGCATTTCTGCGAGGTTGCCACATCTAGCACTATATGAAGAAGAAAGTGACACGGACCACCGTGTAAGTTGGAACCAGTCGAGAAGAAAGCGAGCGCAGCTGGACACGGACAACCGTATGACACGGACACAGTAATTTTCCTTCTCGGATCTCACGGGCTGTCATTGTGACCGGTGCATCGCGTCTTTGCGAACGCCAGCGCGAGTGCGCTTGATGCCGTACGTGGTGCTTTCCCAGTCACGTCGCCCACGGTACTGCAACTTGACGTCTTCTGGCAAGTTTTTCCATTGTGTGCGTAGAGAGTTTGCATTCTCTGAAGTCATAGCGCTTGAAGAGGAAGACCGACCATCCATTTTCGACTTCAAGTAGTCCACGTCTACGTAGGGATTCTCGCACTCGGTCAGTAGAGACTTGTGATAGTTCTGCAATTGTTGCTCGTACTCCAAACGCTGTTCAAGGTAAGAGGCAAGCACCTTCGGGAAGCGATGGCCACCTGTAAGCAGATGACGTACCCACTCATTCAAATTGCAAGACCAATAAGGGGCGGGCCACCGCACAAATCAACTTCATGGCAAAAAAAAACTTAAGTATAAATTGGACATCAAAGCCACTCACAAAGGACCCCCACCGAGTCGATGGCAGAAGATTGATCGATCCATCATGCAACTTGCAGTTGTTCGTGTTCTCGCAGGGGGTCGAAGCCGGAGCAGGCTGGGCCACCGCATCCTCGGAAGGTTCGGCAACGGCATGCTCCCCCTCAGACAGTGCAGCGCTGTGCTGTGGACTCGGTGGCGTGCCTCGGTGAAGGACAGATCTGAGTCAGAGAGCGCGCATGGACCAAAAACTCACTATATATATATATATATATATATTAGAGTGCACGCATAAATGTCCGAGGCGCGTGGCACCGCCGACAGATCATCGGCCAAGTATTTTATGAAAGACCACTCGCTGTCCGAATCGCTGTCAGCAACAGCCATGTTTGCAACGCTTGGTTGGAAATTGACGTTCCGTTAGTAGCTTCAGACTATTTCCATGGCAAGCGAGGACACTAGTGTCGTTGCTGCTATTTGACTTCTGCATCCATGGATCAAATGGTCCTAGGCATCCTTTTAGATTGTTGCGATATGTGTCGCCTGATCCTTCCAAGCCAATGTCACTGCAAAAAAAGGAGAACCATCTAGTCAAGCTTGGAATAGGGGTGGAGAAAAAAAGACGGATCACCGTCCAGAGATCAGCACGGAAGGAGCGCAGAGTGTTAGACGGATAACCGTCTTTTGAAAAAGCGAAGCCGAAAGAAATCTTTTCCTTGCTGCGATCAGATCTCGTGACTCAAAAAAGTCTATGGTCAAACGAAATTGGGTGTAAAAATGTCTGTGGTCAAAAAATCACCGTGCCCGTCTCGAACTCCAGCACTTCGGACATCTGCGGGGTCAAGTTCGGCTCTAGCAGCTGTAGTACGCTGAGCATCCAAGCCCATGGCTGGTCGACAAAGTAAGCCTGGTGCATGTCAATGAAGCGCAGCACTGACAGAAGCTCTCTTTGGAAAACTGCTCGGCATGGGTGCAAAACCGACCATCGAGAGGCAGCAGGTAGGACAAGCATGTCAGACTGCATGTGCTTCGTGTCATCGATGGCCCAGCCGAGCAGGATGAAACGCACGGTGTACAGGCAAGTGCGCAAGAACGCCAATGCCTCCTTCACATCATCATGGCCATCTTCCACGCTGATCTGCGTGAAAACTTCCTTCATAAGTTCGAAGCAATCAGCCAGGTCCCGCTTCGCATCTGTGTCCAAGGGTGCGTGCGGCTTCTCGAAGTTGCCAACCATTGCAACTGCGATGCTCGTGCTGTTCAGCATAGCCATGGTCGGTGCGCGCAGACTTTTCTACCTAAGCGTGAAGCGATCCAAAAAAAATCTCTGGGCAAAGACCCGTGCTATATCCGCAAATGCGAGCTGGCAGTGACAAAGATGGAAAACCGTCTGCGATGACGTCCGACTGGAAGCTTGGCATGTCGACAGATCACCGTCAGCAAGTCATGAGCTGTCTCAAAGACCAATGACAGGGTGCTACTATAGGCTACTGTATAGGCGCATGATTCACTTGTGAATACCACAAGTACAAATGCAAGAGCGTTTTTTTAATCTATCGCCACTGGTGACATCCATTCTTTGCAGTCGAATGGCGCGTCAAGAGACGACGCGAGCGCTGGCCAAGACACTACAATGTCCAGCCCTTTTTCACCCAACAACTTGGCGCATGTCCCGGAGAATTGCGACAGCGGCTGCATCCCTTCGGACACATTGCGATGCATTTTGCTTTGCTTGGCATCTTCTTTCCTTGACCCTGGGGTGGATAGATCATCTCACCAGTGCTGTGACTCTTCGATGAAGAGGCAGGACGTTTCAGCGCCAGTGCTTGTTTCTTCTTCATATTGGCAGCAAATGATTTGACCTTAGGCTTTGGCTCCACAGTGGTGCTTTTCTGCTCGGGCATCTGGCCGGCAGGTCGCTTCATGGCACCGGATGCACGCTGCAGTCGCTGCAAAGTGTCTGCCAAAGACACAGGTGGCACCGCTGTCGCCTCAGCCTCCTTCTCGCTCACCTCAATTGTCTCAGAAGACACCGCTTTCACATCACTGGTGGGAGCGGCTGGCTCACACTGTGAAGATGGCAATCCGGTTCCGTCAGACTTCTCAACAGCAGCTGGAGGAGCTAAACTTGTCGCCGCTGCCGTAGGCTGCGCCGCCAGTGTCAGTGACTTGGCGGAAGCGGAGTGCCCTTCCAGCAGATTGGGTGTCGAAGTTTGCTTCCTGCTCAATGGCAAGTTCATTGTAGAGGAACTGGAAGAATCCTGTCGACTCTCAGACATATACTGCATGAAACGCATGAAGCCAGCAAACATACCAAAGGGATTGTCAGCTAGGCCGGAGAAGGCCACGGCGTCGGTCGCACTCGTCTTTTTTGCCTTTCCTCTCTGTCGCAATGGGATTGTGCGTGCAACCATCAAAATTTCCGATAGCCGAATCCGTGGTGCCACACATTGAACCACGGCATCACTGTTTGCACCCGGTGGGAGATCACCGCGGTCAAGAGGCAGTTGGACAATGTAGTTCTCAGGCGGCACACGCCGATACTTGTAGCGAGCCAGGATAGACGCACCCTCTGCTTTCACCGTCGCTAAGAAGACCTCCACATTGTTCTGCATTTGCCGCCGTTTGTCGTCGGGTTCTCGCAAGAGAAGAAACGCTGTCAAGCTAGCATAGGTCGGTTCAGAGGGGCACCTCAGAGTGAAGTGATCAGCAAGCCATGTGACCACTGCTTGCAGGATCCGCATGTGATCCACTTCGGTCTGCATCACAAGTGTCCACGTAGGCTCCGGCAAGTAGAGCGCAAAGGCGGAGAAGTCCTGCATCTTCTGGCGAACATTGGTTGTTTCCAATGCTTTTCCTCTCAAAACGTCCTGCACCTTCTGCCTCTCTTCAGCATCCAAAGTGCTCAGTTCCAACTGACTTATCGCTTCAGCACATGAAGTGGCAGTTGGCTGCGTCACAGCGTCTGCCATATCGGTCGGATTTCTAGGAAAAAAACTAGCAGCCAAAGTGCGGGACATGCTAGATCGTTCCGACCAACAACTACCATATATATATATATATAAATTTTTATCGATGATAACATCAAGACGCCTTGACGTCTAGCAGGCAAGAACTCTAATATGCTATGTATACAGTAGCATTTCTAGAACGGATCACCGTCTAGTTGGAGGTAATGACAATCGTAACACGGACGACCGTGTGTTTTAAGTTGGTTTCAGATACCGAGTGCATGCATGCAAGCTAATCTATAGACGGAAAACCATCTCTGGGAACTGTCAAGGACTCAAAACGTGGACTACCGTGTACTACGATGTTCTCTGCTAGACGGCGTCGATGCACGCAAGCCACAAAGACGGATTACTGTCTATAGTTGGATCACCAATTGCAAGCCATCTGTAGATGCACTTGGTGCTGTTTGTGTCTATATATACATATATATATATACATATATATATATATATGCGTCTCTTGGTCTGGCTTTCCATTGCCTAATTCCGAGTTGTGGCACCATTTTTTCTTATTTTGCCAAAATAAAAATAATAGCGGAGCCACCGCCGAAGGAATGAAATAAAAGCGGAAACACCGCAGACAAACGCCCGTTCATAAAAATAAGAGCGGAACAACCGCAAAATTCAAAGTAATTCTACAAGGTATAAATATAGGCTACCGCAATCACACAATAAATTTCACAAAAATTTCCAAAAAAATTAAACAAGAAGACAAAAAAATTATTTCAAACAATTTTTCTCTGAAAAATAAAAAAACTTTAAAAAAAAACATTCTTAAAAAAAAACAGCATAATTTCAATCAAAAAAAACTTCGAAATAACTTCGACAAGCAAAAATTCAATGAAGTTATTTTAGATAAATAAATAACTTATAAAAACCATAACCAGCATTACTTAGTTATAAATTCCAACATACTTATGCTACTTAAAAAACATATATCTTATCTTAACCAGACTTATTCCTATTTATCTATGAACTTAAAGCAAGATATAATTAAAATAAGTTAAGCTAACTTCAGGGGCCCACTGCTGTAGTTATGGGAGGACAGTTATATCATGACATCTTGGATTTCGATGGTCACTCGACATATGTGACTGCCGTCCGACGTGGAAGAACATCGTTGCCGGCAATATTCCTAGTATTCTGAAGGTTTATAACATTTTATAACCCCATCGAAATATAACATCATATAACGATATTTACTCTCCCGAAAACTCACGGTATTTCGGGGGTGTATAGTCTCAAGCCATGGCCCGTCTCAGCTTCCCCGATGTGTTGGAAATTCGGACTCCAATTCAAAAACCCATAGGTTACACATTGGTATAATTTAAGGTTGCTATAAAAAATCATCATTTTTAGAGCTAAAGATAGGTAAATCATGGTAAATCCTCAAGGAATAATTGTTCATAGATATTGCCGGAGGGGGACACCCTCATTTTCCCACCCATCTTGAGATTGCGATGGCGCCACATGTCCTGGAATGTCAACCTTGGATTCGTAAACACTGACTATTGATGTGGGGGAATAGCATTCAATTACGACTGCTTCGTGGTTGAGCCCGCCTACCCCGAAAAATGATGGACTTCGTCAGTTGGGATGATGACATTCCCAAATGAATGGAAAGTCATAAAATTCCATGGTTCCAAACCACCAACCAGACTAAAATTCTGTATCCCTCCGTGAAGAAACTGCGGGGGTTAGCAAAATCCTGGATGAAAACCACCCGACAACCTGGTCCTAGCACCAACCACTCCTGTCGCGCCAAAAGGCCAATGGCGGACAGCAACTGCTGCTGCATCTGCAACATCTGCACCAACTGCTCAGCCACGTTGATCGGCGCGCCCTGAGGCTGTGCTAGATTTCTAGATCAGGTCCCAAACAAAAACTTCCTTAAACGAACAGACATTGTGATTCAAGCCACAAAAATGTGAAGGCAACAACAATATGAGGTTTTAGTGAGCAAACAAATGTGACTGAACAAACATTGCTGACTTAACCAACGTTTGCATTGGAGATCATTGGAGATTTGACCAATAAGAAATTCGATGTAATGTCACTGGCCATCTCAGGAACCGATTTATTGGAGGTACCTACCTTTTTTTTTGGCCTATTTTGCAGGGCTAAATTTCAGGGAATATCCCCGCAATTCATATGGCCAACAATATGGTACTAACGTACCTCCATTTTAGGATCCTGAAATTCCCATTGGTAACCAACTGTGATTTGACCTGATTTCACCAACCATTTATTCAGTCTCCGGCAAGATTTGAAGCAGAACTTAGAACAGAAGTGTCGAGCACCCTCTGGGACGTCGTGATCCATGAGTTTCCCTCTTAAGATTGCCATGAATGGAGCAATTATATAGTTGTTTCATTATTATTATTATTATTATTATTGATTTATCTATTTGTTGATTTATTTGAATTTAGATTTATATATAAATACATATATATATAAACCATGTACGCAATATATATATACCGCATGTTTAGACAAACCTAATCAGCATGCCCTGTTTTCAAACAAACTAAAGAATTGCAATGTTTGAGCCCCTAAATCCATTGGTAAATCAGCATGTTCCCATACGTTCATTAATTCCCTACGAAAGTGGCCACTTTAGGCCTATGCCCAATTTTCAGGCACCCAAAGATTGTCTTGCAGTTGCAGTTGGTTATATTCGCTAACTGTGTATATATATATATATTGTATATATATATATGTATATCCCATTATACCCGATTATACCCTCTTAAAATCCCTGGGCAAAGCCGATTTTTACTGGGTGCCGTCCCGAACTGGGTGAAATCTCCCCAAGCCACCTGCCAGCATTTTGGCCCCGCCAAGGCGCGTTACTCGGCACCCGCCGCATTCGACCGTGAATGGTGGGAGGGGGAGTGGAGGCCACTGAATGCGGTGAAAGTGCACCAAGCGAACCATCCTCATTGCGCATCACAGGGAATGGATTTAAGATGATTTAAGTATCAATTCCAAAAACAAAACTGGGAACATTTGTGAGTTCACTGGTTCCCATTTCTGAACCATACTCAAAAAACTGGGAAAATGCGGGAAAATCCAAACTTTACATGTTGAAGTTGCGAACAACCAAATTGTGGATTGGTGCAATCAGTGCGATCGAAGCAACAAGTCACTCAGTAACTCTGGATGTTTATACACCAGTGGCTTAATATATACTTTCTGGTGATTGAACGTACAGGAAATCACATGAATCTGTGTATATGTTTGGTAGGCTTAAATCATCATGAACCATCTACAAATTGACCATGTTCATCCATGTTCGAAAGCTATAAAATAAATACCTGGTTGGTGGTTTTTACAACCATCTTGAAAAATATTACGCCTTATTTCGCCTTATTGGGGAGCAAGGGGGCGGCTGATGCGACCCTCTTGCCCAGCAGTTTGAGCGCACTACCTGGCCTTTGCCGGGTTAAGGGCCCGAACGTCAGCCGCCTTTGCTGCTTGACGTCCAAGCTGTTGAAACACATGTGCATCAAATCGTTGGATGGTTGCCTCAGGAAAACGGAGGCGGTAACACACTGTCCAATGCCCAATTGCAACACAGTTTGGCTTGGTCATCTTTTTGGGGATTGTCAGTTTCTGCTGTTTCATGTAGGCAGTCCAAAGCAACAAAAAAGGCTTCACACGTTGCCCCCACGGAAGCTGGGCTTGATGTGGGGCACTGTCCTCCCGGCTAAACCATCGCTTTTGATGCAGCCATGGCCCATCATATCCCGTTGTTGCCTGAAAATCCAAAAACAGTTGCAAACCACTGACCATCACCAGCCGAGCCCCACCTTCTAAGTACTGTGTGCCTACCTGGCTCCACCAGGCATGCATCATACGGACATTGTGCTCACCGTACCGTTTCACCATGCATGTCGGAAATCGCCACTGCTCAGGTTCCCTAGGCAATGGTGCCAGTTCAGTGCTAACCCTCTGGCGAGGAACCGGCATGACCACTCTTTTTTGCTCATCCATGTGTGCCTTGCGTCCAGTCTTCAGTAAAACCATAAGAATAGCACGGTGCAACTGCCGGTGAAAAGTTAGTGCACCAGCTACTCCCTTCCAGGCCTGCCAAAAACCACTCGGCCTTTTTTCATTGACACATGCCGCCGCTCTGTCTGTCAAGCCATTATGCCAATATGCCCACTCCTCCAACGGGTCTGTAGCTGCTGAAATTGAGCCATGCGAGACCACCTTGACAAGTTGGACATTCTCACCGTCCCACGTGTCAAACAGAGCAGCCACCTGGTTGCGTTTGACGGGCAGTCCCGCTAAAATGCGGTTAACCCCTTTCATGACTGCCTGACAATCTGTCCAGATGCGTACCCGAACACGTCGCTGATGTGCCCATTGCAAGGCCGCAAACATGGCTGTCAATTCTGCACGGACAGGGGTCTGAACCAACCCTTGTACATGCCCACATAGCAAGACCTCATTATTCAAGCTACCAATTTGTGCTCGCGTCACAGCCCAAGCAGCATATCTCAGCTTCGGCTCAGTTGGGTGAGCCGCGGTAGCATCAACAAACAAGTTAATCACCTCACCTGGAGACACCTGTGACAGGCCTGTCGGTGACATCTTTGAAAGTCCATGGTCCTCAAGCAACCAACCCGCATAAACCTCCCATTCAGGTAAGGAAACCGCCCACCCATGACATGACAAACTCTTGGGCAAAAGTGGTATTGTGGCCAACTGCACCGGAGAGACATGGCTACGACAGTCAGTGAAAAACTCACACTCCCATGCACGGTGGTAAAATCCATCCTTACAATCACACCACGGGCATTTACCATCATTGTCGGTCTGAAAACGTGCTCGACCATTTTGGGTATACAACGTCCCATCCAAGTGGCACCGCAGGTAGACTTGATCAGCTGAACTGAAGTTGGAAAGTGCTGATTGAGATTCCAAGATATCAGCACTTTCAAGACCTTGGAAGGTAGACCTGTGGGCAACTTCCTGACAGAGAACATGGCTCCAAGACAAGGCAACGCGTAGCCAAAGTTCATCCCATCCCACCTGAAGCAAACTGAAAGTGCCATACCGGTCCTGCACCAAGCCATTGGTGCCAACTGCCCACCCCAAACGTTGGATACGCATTTGAAGGATATTGGTGGGCCCATTCTGAGGCAATGAGCTATCACCTGATGCAAAAAGCCCAAGCTTGGTTTCAAGCAAGTCACCCTCCCCAAGTTCCCGTGTGTCCCTGAAAGTTTGGATGATAGTCCAGGCCTCCGGATCAGCTTCCAAATGCACACTGGCAAGGTGGAGCATAGGGTTTGCCCCCTTCCTCTCTGCACCAACCCCCCGCATAACTGACGTGCGGAAGACTTTCATGTGAGACCCCCCAATTTGGACTACGGACACACCATGCAATGCCCTAGGCCATGCGATGACTCTGACCGCTCTCATTTTGGCAGCATATGGAGCGATACTTGCACGCAAACGCACAAAAACGTCAGGCATTCGCTTGACCCTGGCAATCAAAACGGAGTTCCATGCATGCCGGCTAAAATTTTGATGGGCTCCCAAGTTACGTGAGGCAAGTGCAACCTGCAAGGAGTGGCGACGCAGCTCTTTTCTGGAAGTGCCATGAGTACTCCAGACCTTTGTCTTGTGGAAGTCCAACTCCAAATCCATGGCATGAGTAAAGTCCAAAACCGACTGCCAAATTCCGTGAAAGTGCTCCTGCTCCTGAAAAAGAACACCCCAGTCATCCACAAAAGCCTGAAATCCAAGACACGGCATGGTAGCATGCAGCCACAAGTCAAGAACCCAGTCGACTATGACCATCCCAAACACCGACGGCGCACAGCCCTCAGGGAGTCCACAGTTAGAGCCCACCGCAACACCAGTGGAATTCCGCACCTTAAAATGCCTCGTCTGCCCAGCTACAAAGGAAGCCCATGCTTTCAAGACCCCCTCGGGAAAACCCAACTTAACCAGAGCACACCATAGGGGGAATCTTGGGATTGCATTAAAAGCGCGTCGCACATCCATCAGCAAACCATGCAAAGGCGAATCTACCAGGAAAGCATCTTCAAGTTGATGGGCCATGGTATACCAGACTTGCTTGGCTTGGCGTGCTGGCAGGCCGCCCTTTACGCTGGCAGGCACCAGAGAGGCCATGACTTGAAGCGCCTCACGCGCCCTCATTGATGACCATGTTCGATACAACAAGCTATACACTGTGACCGGCCGAAACTCATCCACTGTCTGGGCGGCATCATGCTTTGCCAGGCTGGCAACAAAACCACATGCGACTTGAGCCGGCCATGGGTGACCAGATTCAACTTTTTGGAACATGGTGACAATCCCTTCCCTTGCGGAGTGGGGCAAGGCTGCCAAGTCAGGCTGCGAAACTCCATCAGGCCCTTTTGCAGAGCGCACTTTCTTCCGTTTGACTGCCGCACCAAAACTGTCAGGAGTCCAAGGCTTAGAATTCCACTGTACCACTGGCAAGACACGTTCAACAAATCCACAGATTTGGTCCCATTGTCCCGGAACAACATGTGACAGTTTGTTCCACCTCGGCTCCCATACGGATTGAAAACGCGCCAAAATGGCCTGATCTGACATGACCACGCGCTCTTGTGTGAGCATGGTGCCCGCTGTAAGTCCATCAACCTTAGACACCCACACCTGATCAGCCTCATGCGCAGTGACCTCAAGGACACAGCCATCAACAACTACCGACACATCTGGGAGCAGTGTGACTGACTTGGACAAAACTAGTGACAGGTCATCAGAACGCACTTCCTCTACGGCCACCTCAACCCGGTCCAACAGAGCGTCAACCGCTGGAGGAGGCCCCTCTTTGCAGTCGCGAAAAACTACATTCAAATCCACTTCACGCTTAGCCTTGCCAAAGTTGTAGCGTTTCTGAGCCAAGTCTGCCTCATACTTGGTGACAAACACATGAAAACCCTCAAACAACTGCTGAATAAAATCAAAACCAGGCACCAGGTACGGAAGTCCAACCGGGAGGGCAGGCACAAGTCCATGTTGCTGCCACCAAAGTCCAAAACCCCCGGGAAAGCCCGCGGCATGTCTGATAGCCCGCCAAGTCTCATGCGCATTGACCTGGGCATTCAATGTTGTCACCCCAGCCTTCAAAAGCTGACGCAAAGCTTGCAACCTACGAAGCTGTTTGAAAAATCTGGCATGCTGCAAACTGACTCCGAAGAACCCTGGCACCAGTTCCCCTTGACGAGCAACTTTAGGGGGTGGGTGCACTTGGCGTTTGGCTTGGGCTTGCAAGGTTTGCCCTCGACCACACTGTGCCTTTGTTACATGAAGTCCATGCTGCGCATTCCAACGCTTGGCTTGTTGTTCAAGAGAAGCCCAAAAAGCCGCATAGGCCACTGTCGGGTCACTGGCTGTGTCAAAAGAAACTTTGCAAGTCCAGTCCACAGGCCATGGAAAAGGAGAGGGAACATGCCAAGACTGCACCATAGAAGACAAACCCTGACTTACAAAGCTGACCTCAACAGTCGCATGATCTGCCCACTTGTCCCATTTGACGTCAACCCTGTGCAAACATGTTTGAAGCTCTGGGGAAATCCAAACCTGATCGATCCGTTTAGTCCCACGCCCTGTAGGTTGGACCGATTGGCCACACTGCCATGCTCGAAGGTCTTGAACTTCACGGAAGCCGTGGTCAACAAGCCTCTTAACCTGTGACAACTCACCGACAGCATAGTTGAAATCTCCACAGATGATCCTAGGGCCCACTGTTTGCCCTACGATGCGATCAACAAGTCCAGCCAGGCATGTATCAGTCTGGTATCGTGCCTGTGTGTGAGTGGCATTGCAAGGAAAACCATACAACATACCAACTTGAACCCACACTGAACCAACCATGAACCCTGCTACTTGGATACGGCCAGTAGCAAACAAGTCCGGATCAAAACTGTTGGGCAAAGGACGTGCAGGGAAACGTGAAGCCAGCAAAACCCCTGAGTGAACACCTACTTGCCCACGGCTCCGCACAGGACATGGCTGCCCAGGCACCAGATATTTCCAAGGCGACTGCAGTGCCTGCAGGCCTTTTCGAAGCTTGACAAACCCATGCTTGGACAAGTGCGTCTCTGAGTACACCCAAACATGGCCATCCTGATGTGCAACCTGATCAACCTTAGAGTTGAGACCTGAAGGGTTTGCAATACCAAAAGTCCATGTGGCATCACTTGTGTTTGGGCCCGGGTGTGCCGCTTCACCTATGCGACAAAGTCCTCCCCACACTAGGAACCACAACCTCCATCGGAAACCCCCTTGGCGACAAAGACCTCCACCATGAGATCTCCCAACCCTCGGCTTGGTGGCACAAGTCCAAGTCCAACCACCACGTTCATTGATGCCTGCCCTTCCACCTGGGGAAGTGCAGCAGGAAAATCCAAAACTTGCATACGAATGTAGCCCTTCAAAAAAGGTTTCCACACAGGTTCTGCCCACCTCCAGGGCAGCACCGAAACATACCGACCAAGCAGCCCGCTGACACCGTGCTTCAATTGCTGCCCAGCAGGGGGAATCCATGTAAGCCAACACACCTGCCAAATCAGCACCAGAACAAACCCACTCCAACGCCATGCACCAAGTCCAAGACCATAGGAAGCCGCAGCCACGCACTCGTGTTGACCTTCTGGGAGATCAAGTTCCACACCCCCACCGCACTGCGACACAGACGCCCCAAAGGACAAAACACCACACAGCAACCGCAGCACCATTATTATTACCACTGCAACCCACAAACCAAAATGGCCGGCAGTCCACATGGCCAAAGGCCTGAAAAATCCAACGAGGCCTCCCCCCGGTTCAAAGTCCACCCCGACCATTCCACCATGCTGTTGGCTACCCCCCGATTTTTCCCAATCACCCATGGTAGCCAATTGGATGACTGGGCACCATCACTCCTGCCTGGCTCGTTTAGACTTTTTTTTTTAATTGTTCATCGGTTGAGTTCCAGCTCCAGGCCGCAGGTGAAACGCAGCGAAAATATCTGTGTACCTGAGGCCACAATTAAGTTGCCGCACCAGTGCGACAGTTCTGGGAAAAAGTCTGAGCGCATCTCATATCTCCAGGATGGATGCTTGGGTGTTGACCAATGGGCATCACTGGCTTGAGGGCTCGAAGTTGTTCGTTAGAATTGCGCACCTCAGCATCCACCCGCTCTTCTTTTTCAATTTTGCCTCCACCTGCTCCACCCGAGCTGTTAGCTCATCGTTTTTCTGCTGCAGCGCACATACCTCTCCCTTGAGGGCAAGGGTCTTCGCCCACCAATAGCCAACAGCCTCTCCGGGGTAGAAGCAGAGGGCTCGTGGGTTCAGTGCCTTGGAGGGAGGCCCTGTAGGCGGAGCAGATGACTCAGCCACATCTGGCATTTTTGTCTCCACCTTGGATTGTGGCACTTGCGGGCTCTGACGCTTCGCCTGACTGACTGCAACCGAAGGAAGCTTCGGTTCTGCTTCCTGGATCAAATCCGAGACATTCGTTTCTGCCTCAACTACAACCACATCTGGCGTTTTTGTCGCGACCTCAACCTCTGCAGGAGTCTCTCTTTCGGCCTTGGGTTGTGGCACTTGCGGGCTCTGACGCTTCGCCTTATCAGATTCAAGACATTGATAAGCATCATGGTAAAACGGCATTTTAAATTTTGCAAATTTGCGCAAGCTTTGGATAGCTTTGGCGCTTTTTGAATGCTGAGCCAAAATGGCATCCTTGAGCCAAAATGGCTACGGACTTGAAAAATATTAGTCAATAGGAAGGATTATCCCATATATATATATTATGGAAAAAAAAATGTTCCAAACCACCAACCAGCATAGAGTTGTAACCAAAGGGACTACTCTAGAACTGACCTGTATCCAAAACTCTGGCCCATTGCCAGGTGCACTGACCATCGCCTGTCATGATAGCGAAACCCAATGACATCCAATGACCCATGGCACCCCAAACACCAGCCACTGAGTTTGCGACTGAAACTGTACCTTCGCCCATCGCTGCCGGGATTCACTCGGTTCATATATGCTGATCTCTGCAAAAATTCCACCCCAGATAGCTAAGTTGGTTGAGAACTAGCCTAATTCTGGTTTATGGTAGACATATCTATGGTTAATGGGGTTTGTAAACCAACTCATGAGGGTGGATATACCTACAGTTTATAATAGTTCTTAGGGATTATATAGCGAGAAACATGAATCGGGTGGACCACCTTGCATGGTTGAGCTGTGTATCACATGTTTAGCTAAGTCTGTTCTGGGATATTTCTTGCCTCTCATGTTTTTACTTTTTGTTGATTGATCTGGTGATGAGCTCCATAACCTTGCAACAGAAAATTGACATTTTTTTACACTCTTACAGCAAAAAGTTCGATGGTTTTCCCATTGTTACAGTATGTCTCTATTTTTTTGTATCAATATTACAGTAATCCCATATATTATTGGAATTATCCCATATATTATTGTCAATGTTCCAGTATAGTTCAATTTTCCCATGATTTCCCAACATGTTCCTATGATTTTCTCTTTTTCACAAAGCTCCATTTGCGCCGCAAACTCCGCCAAGTTGCTGGCAATTTCGGACAGCAAATCCAAGCGAAAATGGGGCCTCAGCGGTCTGCGTGAAGTCTATCCACATCAATGGAGCATTTGTTCATGAAAAACCATCGGAAAATCCATATCCATATGCGAAGCCCATGGTGCTGGTATATTTAACATAAAATTTACCATTATTTGAATTATTTACCTTCAGACACAGCCAAATATCTGGAATATCAGTTGTACCATCATTAGATATATCTAAGAATCTAACATCATTGGATACAACCCAAATATCTTAAATGGATTAAATAACCAGGGGCTACTCTTATAGATATGAATACCCAAATGCAACCCATGGTGCTGGTATATTTACCATTATTTACCTACATGACTGGGTGATTTTGGACAAGGGCCAATGTTGGTCAATATTCCAGCACCATGGTTCGCATATGGGATAGGTTTAAAATCTTGGGACATCCACAATCCATGGAGGACCAAATCATCGAAAAAAATCCTCCAGTCGCTATGTTCCATGTGAAAATTAGATGGTGTCATTCAGTTTGAGTTGCTATATATATATATATATATGTATATATATATATGGCACAATATCTCACTAACCTGAAATAAGGCTATTTGGAATGATTCCCCTTACTATCCATTATTCCAGTGAGGTCGCAGTGAGGTCGTTATAATTTGCCCAGATATACATATAATATATATAACTATATATATAACTATATATATAACTATATATAAATAACTATATATATATAACATTATATAACTATATATATATAACTATATATATATAACTATATATATATATGCATAACACTTGACATGGGACGCCTTAAATGATGCTTCAAAAGACCTCCATGGTTTCAGTTTTAGCAAATACCCAACTACCCTTTTCCAATTGATTAAATATCACAAAAATATCACATGGTTCAAAATTGCCACAACTGGGTCCCAACCCATGTCCAACCACACAAGAACCATCTAACGGTAGTAAAGCAACAGGATGAACCATCCTCAAATTTACCATTTACTGTATATGGGGTGTATAAACCATCAAAATGTGGTATAAGGTGGTATCAATCATCAAACTAACATCACATATGGTGGTATATGCTGCTATATGGCTTTGTCTGTGCAGTCGGATATCTCAGAATCCAATCATTTACCATCATTTTCATTCATTTTCCCTATTCAGATCTGGTTGGTGGTTTCAACCCCTCTGAAAAATATTAATCAATGAAAAGGACTATCCCATATATTCATGGGTCCTATACCCCCCCCCAGACCCAACAGACACACCCAATATATTATGGAAAATAAAAGCCATGTTCCGAACCACCAGAGATGCGGCTTTTTAGGGGACCCATCAGACACACCCAATGGGTGCTGCCACCATTCTCCGAGCCGCGGGAGGCCCGGGAATCCCTCGTGCCAGCCTGACCTGGAAGAAAGGCCCTTAGAGCGGCGCCACGGCGCCACAAGCGACGGCGGAAAGGGATGGAAAGGGCAAATCCCGGTGGGGAAATCTGGTCAAATTGCAGGTGCCACTCGTGTTTCTTTCCCATGATAGAACTTGGCGGTTCTTCGATGTTTGAAAGTTAAAGAACGGTGGAGAACTTGTACCACGAAACTCGGGGAGATACCTTGAGAATCCATTCCGAATTTGCTTGTGGTACTACTCTCAAATACCCGCCTTTTTTTATCGAAGCCACCAAAATCCAGAAACCTCGAGGTTTCATGATGAATTTATATATAACCTACATTCACTTTTCGAGGCCAAGAAATGGGTGAATTGGCCAGAGATTGGACCCTAAAACCCTAAACCACAACCTCCCCTGGGCGCGTCTCATTGGTCTCAACTGTCCAATTCTTGGGGCAACAGGCGAAATGTGCCTTTTTGTTTTTTGGAAAGCAAGAACTTGACCCATAATCATAAGCATCATAAGCATTCATATGTCATGTATGTAATCTATATGTTTATATATACTCAATGTATATATATATATATATATCACAGAGGGTATTCATAACATAGTTGTTTGAATGGAAACTATGCTGATAGATGATAGATGATACAATTCTGGGCTATGCCACTTTCAAAAGAAAGCCATGGGTCATGCTTAGGTTCAAGCAGCAACCAAACATTCAACTTGGGAAAATAATGATAAACAGTGGAATTGTGATGGACTTTGGGGGTTTCAGATCATGGCTAATCTTCGATAGCCTGCTAAGATTACCACTTGGGCGCGTCTGAATAGGCTACTCCGGAAAACAGCCCCCATTGTTTATCACCATTTTCCCTTAAAAAAACATCGCCCAGAGGATATCCCAATTTTGAAACAGCTCCAATTTTTTGTACCCTCTGGTAAACATTTACATAACTATGGAAAATCACCATTTTCATTGGGTAAATCCACTATAAATCACCATTTTCAATAGCTATGTTAAATTACCAGAGGGTATGTGTTGCTTGGTAGATCCCATATGTCATCGCAAAAATACGCATGAAATCACCCGCTTGCCCGAGCAAACGAGCCAGGCTGCTGATCGAGATCGGGCGGACAGTTGGCTCTCGGTCGACTCCTCCTACCAAGAAGTTCTGAGATCCCGTTCGTTGGAGCTCCGCAAAACCATGGGTTTGGAAATAACCTATTCAAAGAGACTAAATTGATGGGACTCAAAAGGAGAAATCACCTACTAATTATTCCAGAAATCTACATACAGCCTCTTTTTTCAATGGGACTAAATTGATGGAAATTTGGATGATTTTGAGGGTTCTTCAATGTTCTTCATGCTATTTGTCCCGCTGAGCCATCTTCGTGAAGAATTGGTTCCCCAATGAAGAACGACTGTTATCGTTTTTGGGGTGCCTGGCTAAGGTTCCTACTCAACCTGGCTGGAAAATCCAAACTAAATGGATGTTTGCAAAGTTTGCATCTGGGAAAATAATCTATATACTTTGCAAACACCATATCTCAAATACCATACTTTTCCATATGGATTTACCCTAATCTATGTACATATCTATAATTTTGACGATGGAAAACCATGGGAACATCTTGGGAAATCCCCATGGAAATCACCGAATCACCGAAAAACACCGTCTCACGTCCGTCGGCTCCGGAATCTGACAGTTCGGTGACGAGGGGCTAACCTGGAAGGAACAGTACCTACAATGTGGGGCCCCCCAGTTATAAGTACTATAGTTATAAGTACTGGCATATAACCAACTTATAACCATAACTAAACAGTTATAACTATAGTTTGGTTTATAGCTGGTTTATAAACACCATGAATACTATTATAGGTACTATAAACCAAATATGGCATATGGGAATAGTACCTATGTGCTCAATATTACCATAGAAATATAAGTCAATATGCCAATATGGAAATATATGACCTATATGACTTATATTCCAATATGTCAATATGGAATGTTTATTCCTCCAAATATGGCAATAGTAAAGTACCCATAGGATCCATGGTGCTGCTATATATGCATATATATATATGCTAACATTTACCATCAATATACCCCACATGTTAGCATATATACGCCATACATGGATCCTATGGGGTATGGTAATAGTAGGTTCCGACCCATCCTGAAGAATCTGATGGTGATTTCAGGCTTTGCGAAGTGGAAAATCATCATGTTAAAGAGGTGAATCATCATCAAATCATCTATTTCTATGGGCAATTTGCATCAAGTTGCCATAGCTATGCTAAATAATCAAGATAGTAATCAACATTTAGTCATCTCGGCCATTAGGAATCATCATCCCAAATAGCCAGATGTTCCAGTCGGCCCGTTTCGACACGGCGAGTCTTCTGGTGAAAACATTTGAAAACTATCTTTGTCAATGGGGATCATCTCAGATAGGATGATGATGGATGGAACATGATGGAACATTCAAAAAACATCAAAAAAACACCAACCAGTCTTGGACATGAAGCATCGTGAAGCGCAAAAATCGTGTTTTGCTTTGCAGGGGACGTCTATTCAAATCTATCCAATCTTGCCTTTCATGCCTTGCATGGGCTGCTGTCGATGGCGCAAGTGACATGACCTGGTGAAATCCCCACCCCACTGAGACTCCACGCTGCCCGCGTTGCTTCTGTAGATTCCTGGTGACTCACGGGGATTGACGATAAAAGAAAACCAACGCCTGAAGCAAACGCCTAGTTTAGCGGAAGCAAAAAATGAAAAAAACATCTCTCCAAAATTTGGCACCCAATATTTATCTCCAATTCACCATTTTTCACTGGATCATCTTGGGTACAATCGCATACCCCATGTTCCGGACAACCCATGTGCGTTTATGGGTACCAGGGACGCAGAGATATTCGAACACTAGGGAAAAATTTTGCCGGAAAACATCTGACAAAAAGAGGTACCCAAATTCAACTTATGCCGATCTTGGAAGTATGGTCAATTCATTCCCAGAGTGCAATATGTCTGGTGGGAAAAACATCTCCGAGTGAAAGGATCAAGACCCGAGCATTACCAAGGAGTTCACATCAAAATTAGCCTCTGCTAAACATACAAAAAGCTATTGAACATTGCCCATTTATAGTTGATTTACCTATAAAAAATGGTGATTTCAACCATAGTTTTTTGTATGTTTACCAGAGGGTAGGGTCTATGAAAGGCACAACCTGGGGGAAACACAGGGAAGCCTTGACTTTGGGGGTAAAAACAAGCACAATCCCCCGAATCCTAACCTTCATTCAGCAATGAATATATACATAATCTGTATATCATTTTTTTTAAGGGAATATATAACCTCACTTCGTAAACAAGTGGGGTGTAAACAAATGTAAACAATATATATAATATTCCTCCAGTTTATGTGTATATATATATATATGTACTCCGAGGTCACGAAGTGAGGTCGTTTTAATTTACCCAGACGGCACCACGGCAGGCGCCTGTCTCTCTGGAATATGGCTCAAACGCCTGGCGTCAAACCGAAATCTGGTGGAACATGGTGGAAGGCCATAATTTCACACGCTATAGGGTAATATCGAGCTCAAGAAAGATGGCGCAAAAATATGGAATTACACCTATATAGTTTGTTAGTTTACTATAGTGTGCAATAGTTTACTAATTGTTTACTAAGTGTTTACTATACTTTACTATATATTTACCCATACCGGCCCATACCCAATATACACTGTAGTTTACGAGGGATTCTAGCCAAACGATGGGGATCTCCAGGCTTTAAATCATGGTGATTTCTAGTTTCCAGGCCTCAAGGATAGGTAAACTCACGTTTAACTATGCAAAATCACCATGTGATTACTTGTTAAAATGTTAGTTTGGGTAAAATCCCATAGTAAAGCCTCATAGACTAGTAAATTACTATCACCATTTGATTACTAGTATCCATAGCTCTGTTAGTTTACTATGTTTACTTGAGGCTTAAACCGCGGGATGGAATGGGGCCCCATATGTTTTCGAGACATGATTGACACCTTTTGCGCACCTTACCGTACTTTGTGCCATTGGAATCTACAGTCTATAGTCACTTTTCAGTTTGGTAAATGGGACCATATAATATCATATAATGCCATGCTGTATACTCACATACCCAAGCTGTTGCCCAAAATCTCTGTTGTCATAGGCTGCAACCCAAATTTCCTGAGTGAAATCCACATCTTTGGCACCTTTTTGTCATAGCTAAATCAAGTTGTTTGTGGATGACATCCACGATGGATTCAATTGATTCAATCCCCGTTCTGAACTGGCTTCTTTTGCCGTTCTGGCCCGAAATACCAGGAAAAAACCAAAACAATATGGAATGATAACCCCATTATAGCGTATATCTATAACTATGTTTATAACTATATATTTAGAACTAGAGATTTTATAACTATGTTTATAACTATTATGTTTATAACTATTTAGAACTATAGTTAAACAACCATAAGTCTGAGATTTTTTCAGCCCTGCCACACCTCGAAGACAGGTTCGAATACCTCCGCGTGATCAAGCGACGGAGCAACACATCCTGCGCGCGTGAAGCGAAGTTTGGACCAGTGGGGGATCCCTAGGGGATTGACAAAAAAGATGTGAAAAAAACATGGGGAAACCCGAGGAAAATGATCTACAAATTCTGGCTTTTCGGTATATCTCCAGGGGAGCTGAATCGGGTGACTCATGTGAATCGGGTGGTATTCCTTTGAATTTATCATTCACAGGATGGTTAAAGCATTGGTGCCAACTAGCTGTGGATGTCAACTCATGATATTAATCAATATGATATTGACTGTGGATATTGACTGATGTAACAAAATTTTAACCGCCAATCTTATGTCAACCCAACGTTATTGAGGATGGCTAGTCGGAACACATAGAAAGAAGCAAATGCATTATATATAATTGGTAAGGTTATCTTCAAATAAATAAGATATAAAAATTGATTTCGGCATGGGGTATCAGTCGGTATCAGGCTCATAATGAATGTGCCATTTGGTGATGATAAGACTTGTACATCCCCAAACGTTTCAGTGAATACCCCCATTATTGGTCAAATCACCACAATGTTCATCTATGTAATATGTCATTATGGCTAATCACGGCTAATCTTGGAGACCAGCAGGAAACCTGAATTTTTAGATGCTCAATGTGGTAAAGCCAATTTCATAAACCATCCCCAAAATCACCATAAATGGTTGGTACATGTTGAATAAACCATCCTGAAATGGTAGATGTATGGCATTGGGTTTTACCACATGAGGGTTTCCATAAATGGGGGTACCCCTAGTTATCATCCATTGCATTTACAGATGGAATTTTCCATGAAATAAACCATCCATTTTTTCATTCAAGTAGGACTTTCCTGGGTAAATTATAATAATTCACTAACCTGAATTAAGGCCATTTGGGGATGATTCCCCTTATTAACCATGATTCCCAGTGAGGTCGCAGTGAGGTCGTTATAATTTGCCCATCCGTTTTGGGTACTCCATGACTATGGAAACCCCAGGAAACCCGATGTCAAAAACCACCGAAGCTGGCGAAGCTGGTGAGACTTGACCGTGACATGGCCATGACGAACAACAATGGCTTCCACAGGACCAGAATCGGGTGAGATCTAATAGACAGTATACACAGTATAATATATATATATACTATATGATATATATATATATGTACTATATGATATATATATATATATTTGTACTATATGATATATATATATACACACTATATGATATATATATATACACTATATGGTGTATATATATACACACTATACGATATATATATATATATATATACAATATGATATACATATATATATACACGTGTATATATATATATATACGTATATATGTATCATTAAATGTATAGTATGAACCATGATCATATGTGTATAGATATGTGAGAGATATAGCAAAGATGAGTGTTTCTGAAGGGTAATAGCTGCATCCTTGGTTTTGCTTCTTCGCCGGTGAACATGTGATAATCGTCACAGAATTCATGGATTCACCGTACCATGGATTTCACAGTAGGGTGCCCCAAATCAACTGGTTGAGTATCCTGGTTACCATGAAATTGCCAAAAAAGGGCTATCCCGTAATCCCTCAGTTTCACACACACACACATAGAAAAAACATCAGATACTATCAGATACTATCAGATACTCATGTCATCTCATGTATTCGGTCTGGATTTCCTCTGGATTTCCTCTGGATTTCCAGCTACCCGTTGCATCTGTTTTCAGCTCCTGACTGCGCACCAGCATGCCCAGCTCACGCCTCGTTTTGGGATCAACAAGCAGCCGCAACAAAAATCTGGCTGACTTATAGCAATTGACCCACCTGAAATAGCCTGAAACGCCTGGCAAGTTTGAGACAGGTATGGTGACTTCGTGACATCGTGATCAAGCGTTTACATAAAACTAGATTACGGGTGGGTGGGTGGGTGGGGGTGCTGTTAAGGTTCGGTTTCTGTTCTTCTTGGATGAGATGCAACCATATCACACACACAGACACAGACATATACGAACACACAGTGCTGCAACCATATCAAATCCTGTTTGCCAAGACAAGTCTCGACCCGACAGTTGACAGGAAACTCAAATTGCATATGAACAGATATGTTTGGATCTGGTACTGGAAACACTGTAAAGTAGGATCCCCCAAATCTCTTGTTGGAGTTGGGAAAGCTCATGATGTCAATCAACAAAACATAAAAGATTGACTACTGGAAGTGATCTGGAAGTGACTTCAACACAAGTGAGCAAGTGCAAAAAAACATGCTTCAGATGTGTTTGGGCACAAGTTTTCAAAAACCATTTTACCGAACATCGGCGTTTTGTAGGGAAAACAACATCAACTTCATTTTGAGGCGAAACGCCAGTGTTTTTGACGCATTTTAACACTTGGATCGAACATGATTGATGAAGAAAACGCTGTGTTTGAAAGGGAATGGTGTTTTAAGGATCTCAAAACAACCTTTGAAACATTGAAAAGAGCACGGTCGCTCCACAGGTGCCATATAAATCCATATAACCACAGCGCTATGGGTCAATACCCATGGGATTCTCTTGTGAATAATAGCTGGGATCTGTATATGTTCATACAAAATATGGAACAGGTATCAATTATCACAGGTTTTGCCTGGTGCCCATTCTTTTGATGATTAGACCCCCATAAAAATATGGGGATGGGTCAAAACCTATAGTATTACCATGTTTTGGGGGAATAAAAATCCATAAACCAACTTAGGGTACCATCCGGGTACCAGGGTTTTGACTCATAGCCATATATTGCTTTTGGATGCTTTCAGACTCTTGGTCACTGCCGAGGCACACTTCAGTCTGAAGTGGCTCGGCATGTGTCTGTGACCGCAGTTCAGCGATTTGCCCCGCGGCTCGTTGAATGGCCATATACAGCCTCAGGGGAACTCTGGCAACTCGCAAGTGCCTTGGAGACTTGAACCTTTGTCTTATGACTAGTTAAATGTTCAAATCATGATAATCACCAATGTAGCACTGCTCACTTGGTTGTCATCGGGGGCCCGGGGTTTTTAGATGTTTTTAGTCTTTAGTATGGAAAAAAGGGAGATTAGATGAAACGTTAGACGCGGGGTTAGACTAACAAAGGGGAAAACGAATGGCGGGCTTGGTCGAAGAGGGCCTTTGAGGAAGGGTGCAAAACGAATGGAAGGGCTTTGCCGAACCCCGGCGGGCTTTGACGAACTTAGGTTTGGTCCATTTGCATAACTTTCAGAGCCTTCACATACTCCCTTGGTTGCCCTGTGAATTTTACATGATTTTACGACTATATATATATATCCCATATGCTCAATGTATGGTATGTTTATTTACATTTGGGTGTTTCTTCGGGCATACTCAATGTATGGTATATTTACCTACATTTGGGTGTTTCTTGGGGCAAATGTTGGTAAATATTCCATACATGGAGCATATGGGTATATATATATATATATGTTTTGGTTCAGTTTTAAGGACCTATTTTCCATATGTTCCACTGGCCAAAATTTATTTTCCGCTGATCTTGGTGTGCCTGGCTGTTTGCCTCCAGGGGGCTTGCCGCCATCGGTTTCCGCGGCTCCCAAACCGGAAATCTCCTGAAGTCGGCGGAAGGAGAAGGAAAACAACCATGACCTCACCATCCTTGGATTGATTTACAGGAACATGTACAGGAAACCATGATTTTTACTTCATCTGGTTGGTGGTTTCAACCCATCTGAAAAATATTGGTCAGTTGGGATTATTATTCCCAATATATATATATATATATACATATGGAAAAAAATGTTCCAAAACCACCAATCAGTCATTTGTTCCCATAAAAAATCATTAAAGTATTGAGGGTTCCTCTGAATCTTGCCTTAAACCAATCCAAAGCCAATAACACCAATATCACCATCATCATGTCATTGCACCCTAACACATATGCCATAGGCGTTGTTGGATGCGCCCAAGTGCACATTTCCCTTGGATAACAGGAACATCCATGTGCTGATCAAAACAATAGTTTTGTGTTTGTTGAACACGTTGGCTTGGCTTTGACATGTGACGCATTTCAGAAAAGATATGGATACCCTGCAAACAGCTTACAGAAATGTTTAGCATATATGTGTCCCCTCAGCAAAAACAAATCCATTCACCTACCCTTGAGTTTTACCAAACCACAATCGCATCATCCCTGGTCACATCGGGAATCCGTTCTGGCTACAGGGTACCGAAGCCACCCTTGCGACTGAGTAGCCGCCCAAGGGTGGATCCGCAAACGAGCGAAGGCCAATTCACGGAAGAGCCACCAGGAGGAACAACATCGTACCAAAATTCCTGGTTCCAATCCCATATGCTCAATGTATGGTATATTTACCTACAAAACTGGGTGTTTTTTGGGGCAAATGTTGGTAAATCTTCCAGCACCATGGAGCATATGGGAATGATCATTGGCGTAGTAAAAATGGGAAAATCTACGCGAGTATCATGGTTGGGTTCCTCTAGATATGGCACAAGTCTGCCGGACATATTTGTTGATTGCTTTCGTGGAAGAGTTCTAAGCAGAAATTGTGTTTCTAATCAAAATGACCTGTGCTGTATATATTCTGAATTCTTCCAATTCAGGAAAACGCGATCAACCGAAATGTGGAAAACATATCAGACATATCAGACATGGAAGTCATAAATATAGTGCTGATGTCCAGCAGTTTCTGAGGAGTTCTCCTGGCTGGGATCACCCTGATTCCAGATTCCCTGATTCCCGAAATGGATTTCCTAAGCAAAAAAAAGCTTAAATCCGCGTTTCACAAAAACATCTCCACGTTTCACCTTCTTGACCAAACTTGGTCTTGCAATGATGGCAGTGTTCAGAGCCCTCTAAAAATTCCGTTCTGTTTCTTTAAATTCCACGAATGGATCAACGGATGATGATGATCCCCAAAAAAAATGGATATGATCATCCCCTCTCTATATGTAATTGATTATAATTGACAATATAATTCCCTATAATTGCCATCCCCTATAATTTCCCCCAAATGGCGTATGATATTGTATGACAGTCTAACCCCCTATATATAAAATCATCAACCAAAAGGCTTTTGAACACTATTCAGATGGTACACGTTGACAGATATGTGCAGGATGCTGACTGCTGCCTCCCTATGTTTGGTGGATTGTAAACCCCAACAACTTCGATATTTTCACCATGGTAGAATCCATCCAGAGGGGCCTCACTCTGTATGTTCATTGATATCCATAAAATCCCATCAAATCCCTAACTTTAGTGCTTAACCTTTGGTAAACATACACAAAAACTATGGAAAAAAAACACCATGTTCCATCTATAAATCACCATTTTCCATCTATAAATCACCATTTTCCAACTATAAAATCACCATTTTCCATTAACAGACCAGTTTTTCTTTGTGGTGAAAACTGCAGCAATAACTGCCCTGGATAATTTTTTTCACCAAATCCCATGATTTCTCCCACTCTCTGGTTTTCTAACTCACCGACTCGCCAGAGGACGCAACGGGGCACAGACCTGGCTAAAACCCCGGTGAAAACCCAATAAACCCAATAGCTGGGCTGGATGTCACTCTTCCCACAACGGAAGTTCATAGGTTTTGACCCATCCCCATACCCATAGGATCCATGGTGCTGGTTTATTGATGGTAAATGTTACCATATATAGCAGCACCATGGATCCTATGGGATATAAATAACTGGGGTATATTCATGTATATTCCATATACAACTTCTATGACTGGATTATGCTCAATCATTTCCTCCCGCTCATATTAAACACCCTCAATAAACCATCGTCGAATCGTGGATGTAGCGTATGAAAAGACATATTCGGGACTACAGAATGGGGGTGCTTTGTATTAGGGGAAGGGACCAATCATAAAACAAAAAGGTTTATACTTGATGGGGGTTATAAACTAGTCCATAATTGGTAGGAATATACCAGTATGGTGGTTCACCCTGTGGTAATCTAAGAGATTAGCCATGGATATCCATAGAAAGGATAGGTACATCGTTCACAAATGGGCAATGGTTGATAGCAAACTCTTAAATTACCGGAGGCCTTCAGAATCCATCAAACAGAAGGTGGTCAAAATGGGTAATTATTATACCAACAATTGGGTGTGTATATATATATACATATATATATGGAGGTTTCCTAAAATAGGGGTACCCCTAGTTATCATCCATTTGTTCATAGGATTTTTCCATGAAATAAACCATCCAGCTATTGGGGTACCCCCATTTCAGGAAACCATCATAATTGGAATTCCCGTTGTCCTAAATGACCAGAATAAATTTGGATGACTCTGAAAGAGCAAGTGACGCAGCACGAAAAGACCAAGGGACACCACAAATTTTATAGCCATTGTTTGGTGTCAATACCCTCTGGTAAAGTAATATAGCTATAGAAAATCACCAGTTTTAATGGGTAAATCAACTCTAAATGGCAATTTTCAATAGCTACGTTAAATTACCAGACGGTATGTCTTACCCATTTGGTCCTCTAATTTTGATGAATAGCTAAACCAATGTGGTGTATACATGCTCAAATACCCAGTCCGATAGTCATTTCTTAAGTATATAGAAAAACCCTCCATTTTTTTGGTCCCAATTTCTACCCATAAATGGTACACGTCGAGATATTCACTTGGATAATGCCATTGGTCTTCAGCTGTGGTCTTCAGCTCTTAGGTGTGATTACTTGAAAGGTGGAATCTTCCAGAAAAGGTGGGATCAACATATCTAATGATTGTTTGAAGCTAAACCAAGCACCAAAATTTGAGTTTCAGCCATTGAATTTCAGATCTCTACATGTTATGCCAACAAAAAAACACATCTGTTTGGTGGTTAAGCAACCCATCCGAATGTGAACGTCAATTGGCATCATCCCCTGAATTATTTGTGCGGATGGGCCATCAACAACACAAGCGACGCCAATCATGGCAGATTGATTGTTTGACCACCATGTTTTCTTGTTGTATGTGAGGATGGGTCAAGTCGCCTGTATTCAATCACATCCGGCTAAATCATAGCGGCCAACTTAAAATAAGGAAATGTTCAAGGCATTGTCTCATGATTATACCAAATTGTAATTTCTTCCAGCGATAGAAAATTACCATTGTGCAAATGATTTATAAACTATGATTTGCCATGATTTGCGTATGACTTCCATGGTCATTTCGGCTAAACCATGTAGTGTGGTAAAGCCAATAATTAATCCATCCTATTAACCAACAATTTGGGATTTTAAATCATCCCATTGCTCATGCAATACCACATTACGCGGTGTTACCAACAAATCTTAAGAACCAGTCATACAAGTGCTATATCCGTAAACAATCTCTATTTTATTATGGCATTTGGTTTACCACATTATGAGATGTTGCCAACAAATCTTAAGGATGGAAAAGCCGCATCATGATATACCAGTGACCCTCTGGTAAACTAACGGTTTGCTATGGAAAAGCCACCATCTCTAAGGGGTATATCAACTATTTCTATGGTCCATTTTCAATAGCTACGTTAAATTACCAGAGGGTAAATCCCATTAGAATCCCATCTTTAGATCCCATTAAAGTCCATTTTCCTATAAAAGTCCATTAGATATACCATTTATAGATTGTTTTCTCACGTATTTTCCAGTTATAAACCTCCATTTATTGGTTAGTTGCCTAAAAATGTCACGTCAATATTCAATAATAATCCCACTATTATACTATGCATCCCCCATGAATATCATAGTACAGTATATATCCAATAATTATTCATTATTAACGCATATCATCACATTAACATCCTATATCCATACATAATAGCACTGGAATATTCATACATACTATATATTACTATATATATATATCCTACTATTTGATCCCATATTCATGCACATTCTACACACTGTATATTGCTGTTCAATCATCCTTACACTCTGGTAAAACTAACATAGCTATGGAAAATCACCAAAATCCAGTATTAATGGTCATTTTCAATAGCTATGTTAAATTACCAGAGGGTAAGAATTTTCCCACAGTTTTTAAAGTGGCTTTCGTTGAAAACGCCTCAGTCTCCAGCGCTGTCTCCAGAGATCCAAATTGCGCTTGCTGCAACTTTGTCAAGAGGCCTCGTTCACACGGCCGCGTTAAGTGATACATATATAATCATATATATATATGTATATATCATCAAATATTTAATTGGGAAATAACGATTGGGGAAATAACGATGATACATATATATATATATAATGATGATATTTCTGTGTTAGACGTGTGTTAAGTGACAAAGTGGTCCATGACCTAACCTGGCAGTTCTATGGTGATAAGTATGTTTCAAAAAAAACATATGTTTTTGTTGTTGGGAGATAGTAAGTTAATCATAAAGATAGATGTTTTTTTGTTGGGAGATTATCAGACCCCTTGTTTCTGTCAGTGTTGCACCGAGTCAAACCCCTTGTTTTCCTGTGGGAAATGGTCATGGGAAAGGGCTCCATGTTCGAAAGGGGTGCTTGTTGTGCCTGATCAAGTCAAACTCAAAATATCATATAAGTATATATAATGTATTATATTATATATAGTATATATATATATAGTACATATATATATATATAACTGTTGGTGTTTGGTCATTGTTGGCAGTCAACGAAGCCAGAATGCTGTCGTTGCTCAAGTTCGATCGTTCTATCCTCGTGGCGATTTTGAGGGATCCCAGGCAACAGATCACAGATCATTGAGGGGCTAGAACATATACTGTAGATATACTGTAGATATATATATATATATAATGATATATATATATATATCATAAATTCATCATAATATAATTCATCATAATATAATTCATCATAATATAATTCATCATAATCTAATTCATCATAATCATATATGATAGATATACCATAAGTATACTAATCTGGTTGGTAGTATACCTATCCCTCTGAAACATATGACTTCGTCAGTTGGGATGAAAGTCAATTCCCAACTGAATGGAACAATAAAATTCATGTTCCAAACCACCAACCAGATAGCAATAAACACTTCTTATTAGCATCACCATTGTGAATATCATATTACTATTAGCATATAGAGACATACATCATTATGATGGCTAGTATTAGATACGAGTATGTATATATACATACATACATATATTATCAATATCGATGTTATGACTAGTATTTCCATATATTACTATATATTGTTATTATCATTATATCATTGTATAGTCACAGTGTTATCATCATATATCATCATTATGATTAGTACTACTATCATCACACAATTTATTGTCATTGTATAAGTTATTCGTACTATTAATCTATATATTATTCTTATTACTAGAAGTACCATCAATTATATTATATTATTGTTATTATGATTATCATTATTACTGTTGTTATCAAATTATGATTTTGTTTGTGATTATTATTGTTGTTACTATCAAATTAATTTTATAGGTAGGTATATAATGGTAGGTGTATATTATAATTATTATAATACCTATCATTACCTAGCAATATTTGAAATTCCTATTTCTATGCAATATGTACATCATATGATGTTGAACAAGTTGACTGCCCGTTCAGCCGGGCCACTGACCAAATCTTGCGGCTGCCCCAATAGGAAGCGACTGCCCGTCCAGCCGTGCTCCTTTAGGGCGCGTCGAACCTGAAGGATTTGATGGAAATCGGGTGGATTTAACCAGAAACAATAGCGATTTTCCATGGGATTTGATGGTTTTAATAAGATTTAATCACATTGAAATCCCATGAAAAATATTGAAATCCATTGAAATCCCATTCATAACTCATTCACCCCTATTTATTGGTGCAAAAGATTTGGGATTTAATGACATTCAAGTGGATTTCCCAGGAACTTGTTGCTTTTGCACCAATTTTTTATAGGGGTTAAAGAGTAGGGAGCCAGTGCAGACTGGCTCAATCGCCAACGATCAGGGATGTGAACTACAGTAGCTACGAACTTAATCCATGGCCTAATTGGGAGAAACATTCCGTACTGTAGCTGGGCCGAGTTTGTATTCATATCTAGATACCACTAGCCCATGTATACCTCCTGGATACCTCCCGGTAATTTCAGATAGCCTAATATTTTTTTTCGCAATTTTCAGGTTTGATTTGCCATGATGTACCTACTATAATATAAACATGTGCCATGATTTGAGCATGTTTAATGATTTGCCATATTTACATCTGCTTGGTGGTTTCAACCCCTCTGAAAAATATTAGTCAGTTGGGATGATTGTTCCCATATATTATGGACAATAATCATGTTTGAAACCACCAACCAGTATATTTGTATATTATACACATGGCCACTTTCCATGGCCAGGTGTTGAGATTACCATCTAAATCCGAGAGGCAGTGCGGGACAGATGCGCCGCCGATTCCAAATCTTGGTGAACTTTGGACTTTGACAAAGCCCCTTGACCGGTCCTCAGCCATTTTGAAATTCACAGAAACAGAGTCAACGGGGCGAAATGCGCCATGGTATACCCCAAAAACTGATTAGAAACTTTTGGTAAAATGATGATTCAACGGAGGATTTAGGGCACCTTTCTTCTCACAAAGCCTTAAATGCTTAGAATATGATGGTTGAACGAACGTAGAAACTTGTTTTCCTGTCAACTATCTTCGTCTACAAACCTAGCGATACGACTGTAGCGGAGCGATAAACGAGAAGAGGAATGACCGGTTTACTTGAGGAAGCTAAACAAATGGCTTGACCCACACCTAGGCCGAAAATCCAGAGTTCAAATTGTGCTGATTGGCCGGGGAAAAGAAGATGAACGCATATGTAATGTTGGTAAAGCAAAAAATAAACAACGATTTTGTTGGTTTATAACTCCCATGGGTAAGTTTGGCGTTGCTTTTCTATTGCTTTACCAACATTAGATATGTAAAATGAAGTTCCAATTCTGAAATCAGCAACAAGGCAAGGGCCACGTGTTAAGCCACCAAACAGACTGAGTCCTGGAGGTGATTCAGGTAACAAGTTAAAAGGTACCCGGCCTGGTAAACGTTTATAGACATTGTTACATAGCTATGAAAAATCACCATGTCTCATAGGTCAATCAACTATTTCTATGGCCAGTTTACCATGTGTTAAATGAACAACTAGCTGGCGCTTCCTGCAAGGTGCAAGGTGGCACCCCCAAGTATATGTTGGGAAAAATAACCCCCATGACAAAAAATATCCTAGACAGTCTAGCAAGTTAGCTACCATTTGGTAGCCCCGCATTGTATAGATCTTCATAAATATGACCCTCTGGTAAACTAACATAGCTATTGAAAATTGCCATAGAAATAGTGGATTTACCCATGAAAATAGCATGGTAATTTTCCATAGTTACGTAAACGTTTACCAGGCCGGGTAAATATCCATTCAGTTCATATCCCAAATCTAAATCCGAGAGATTCACCAAATCCCAGGAGTATCCCGGCTCGCTTGCCGAGCCGTCAAGAAGCAGCTGACGCAAGAGATTCTGCGCACGGTTCACCTGCCTCAAAGGCGATCGGCGATCGACAAAGGGGCCACTGGGCCCCTTGGCCAAAGCAACCTCTGCGCTTTTTTTTCACCGTAGGTATGGACTCCATGCCCAATTTTTAGATGATTTACGATGATTTACCATTCTTTGCAAGAGTGATTTCCAGAGCAACGTTAAATCACCAGAGGGTCTATTAGATAAGTAGGAAATCTGAAAGATGATGAAAACATGTTTAAACATATGTATATAATATTATATAATTATATATATATACATTTATCATATATGCAATGGGACAAAGTGTGCGTGTGTTCCTTTTAAAATATATGAATATCTCACAAATGGTAATCATACATGGTTCACATAATTGAAACTGTGTTGATCAGGGTGGCCATTGACCAGGCCATTGGTCAAAGTATGCCACTCTCTGCAACACTTCGAAGATTTTCATGGCCCATCATCCCATCCGTCTTCCGTGGTATTTTTTTTGCCAAAGAAACTCCAACTCCAGTGCTCGAACACACTCCGCAGCTGCCAGCAGCAGCCAAAAAGCATAGGAGATCAAAAATGTCCATGCAATGATCACCTCGGCCAGTGATCCGGCGCAAATCCTCTGACCGATTTAGGTCGGAGTTCGGTAGAACATCGCCCATTAATTTTTGTGGTCCCAAATCCAAAACTAAAGCGGGGTTGAGTAATTGGCATGTAACTGATGTTCAGGGGAACACATGATGTTTCCTCTACGGAACATCTCCTAAATTCAGGCGATTAAACTTCCATTGAACTATCGTGTGACGTTTTGCAACCCCAAACAAATTGAGAACCCGGTCGCCCGGTGCCAGAAATGAGCGCAAAATCTCCCCGCGAAGGAGAAGTTCAGAGAATTCTAAACTGGTTGGTGGTTTTTCGCCTACCCCTCTGAAAAATATGAGTTCGTCAGTTGTGTCAGTTGGGATGATGACATTCCCAACTGTTTCTGGAAAGTCATTCAAAATTCCATGGTTCCAGTCACCACCAACCAGTAAATAATTCTAACATCAAGGCGCAACGCCACCTAGGAGTTGTGCTAGAAGCTGTTTTCCAACATGATGTTCTTCTCCTCGCTGCCATGTTTGCCGAGGGGGGAAGTGAGGGCCCTGATGGGACTGTAAGGTGAGTCATGGAAAATCCAGAGGAATCTCTCTGGGGAGATCTTAAAATATATAGATTGTACAAAAATGATCAAACAATCTATATTAATATTAGATCATTTACATTAATATTAATATTGATATAACTTGTTTAATGATCAAACATGTAAAACAAACTTGAAAAAATAATTCGCATACAATGAAAGGTTTGACAATGCCATAAACAATAGCTAAAGTGCGCCGTATTACTGTAGATTCTGCCGAGTAAGCAAACATGTATTGGATGATTCCCAATAAAAACCTAACCATCGAAAAGTGCGGCAAAAAAAACGTGGCAAGTTGGTGTTTGATTGCCAGAAGGTAAGTTCCGGGCTTCGAAAAAAATAGGTGCGCCGTTGTCTAGTTTCAAAAAAACGCCGCCATCAACCAACCATCCACACAGACACATCATCTCCAAATTCCGGCGGCTAAATGCGGCTAACGCAATTGTTAGTTTGCTATGGAAAATCACCATGTTTATAACGTTTCAATGAACTGAATGTTCACCCCCAGCTCTGTGAGTTTACCAAGTCTCCAATCTTGGTTCCATCCCATGGCTGAAGCGTTTTCAGAATATCAAGGCATCACAGATCATTGAGGGGCTAGAACATATACTGTAGATATACAATGATATATATATATATAAAATGATATATATATATATATATAGATATCATAAATTCATCATAATATAATTTATCATAATTTAATTCATCATAATATAATTCATCATAATTTAAATCATCATAATGTAATTCAGCATAATCATATATAATAGATATACCATAAGTATACTAATCTGGTTGGTGGTATACCTATCCCTCTGAAACATATGACTTCGGCAGTTGGGATGAAAGTCAATTCCAAACTGAATGGAACGTACTAAAATTCATGTTCCAAACCACCAACCAGATAGTAATAAACACTTCTTATTAGCATCACCATTGTGAATATCATATTGTAATTAGCATATAGAGACATATATCATCATTATGACTAGTATTCTATACGAGTATATATATATATATCAATATCAATATCCATGTTATGACTCCTATACACTGTATATATATATAATGATATATAATGATATATAATGATACATGTATATATATATATATATATCATAAATTCATCATTAAAAACTATCTGAGTTCCCATAAATTGGTGCAAGAAAAAAAACACTCAAAATCCCATCTGGGCCCAAAATCATCATCCAAGGCTCTGCAGAACATAGACTGAGCCTGGGCTGAAAACCCCATGTGCCCAGGAAAGGCTGCGAACTGGAGGTTAAACCTGATACCCTCTGGTAATTTAACAGTTTGCTATTGAAAATGGTGATTTATAGTGGATTTTCCCATTGAAAATGGTGATTTTCCATAGTTATGTTAGTTTACCAGAGGGTATGTGCTAGATACATCTAGATACACTATGCATGTGGTAGATATAACATCATCTGGTTGGTGGTGCAATAACCATCTTGAAACATATGAAAGTCAATGGGAAGGATGACATCCCATATATTGTGGAAGATAGGAAATGTTCCAAACCACCAACCAGGTATTCTATAGGATTTTAGACACACGATGGATGATAAAAGCAACTTACAACTGCCACCACTTTGTACTTGTAGATATTGTTTAATCCATCTCTACAGTTTTGAGGAAGGTCGGTAAATTAGTGCCATACTAATGGAGGTGTTTTTTGCGCCAAAATGTACATAAATTCGGGTATACATGGGCTCTTAACCATATATATATACACATACATCAGAGTGCATTACATTGCAGCGCATGGAAATACATCAAATTTATTACATTGCAATTACATTATATACACTGAAGCACGTATCTGATCAAGAGCTTCATGTAGAATTTGCGAAGTTTTATGACCTGTACAAAGGAGTGCAGACCTGTAGGGTTTTGGGGTGGTAGGGCGGACATAAATCTGTATGTTTGAAAACCAACCAATGTGAAACTCGTAACCAGACTACAGGCGCGAATATACATATAATTGGATACAAATATATATATATATATACATATCAATATATTATAAATATATATATATATTGTATTATAAATATATATAATATATGCATAGATGGAGTCATTCCGGAGGACATAGGTAGAGTCATTCTCGATTCCAAACCTGGACACCCGCGCCTCACTGAGACCCTTCTCCCGTAGGGCCTCAGATTTCGAAGGCAGCGCCAGCCGCTGTTTGTTCATGGAAGCCGTGGGGAAAATCCGATTTTCAGATACCCGGCCTGGTAAACAAACAACAGTTTGCTATTGAAAATGGCTATTTATAGTTGATTTACCCATTAAAAAAAAAGTGATTTTCCATCGTTTTTTGTATGTTTACCAGAGGGTATCTCAATTTGGTTTGAACAAAATACGTTCTAAAGATGAACTGTTAAACACTGATGTCATGAGTTTGAAGAATTTGGGGTCAGTTTCGAACCAAAGGGGCATTCAGTTGGGGGTCACGGATCTTGCAAAACACTTTTCAAAAACTATTAATTAGTCGTGGTGGTCGGGAATGTTAGATTACCAAGTTCTCTCGTTCAGAGCTGATATATATATATATAGGGTCCAGTGACATGAGTACTTTGTGGAAAATGTGACTTTTTTTTGTGCCACACCACCCCTAGGTTTGAACGGATGACATGTTTTTCGGTCTGTAGGGGGGGTACGTTTTCTCATTCCACATGTCATCAGCCCCTAATATATATATCAAACATAGTTGTTCACTACATTGAATTTGTGACTTGATGAAACCAAAATACACTATACTCCATGAACAGGAAATGACGTCCTGCAGAAATGCCCGATAGACGAGTATGTTCAATCCATCCCAAAGACTATCGGTCAACGGGGACTCATCATCGCATGTCTGAAGAAAAATAATACATTTTGTAAGTAACTACATCTCTATGTATGTACATGTATGTACATGTATGTACACATGGATACATTTATGGATACGTGCAGAAACAATACATAAATAAACATAGAGCTATGTGTACATAGACATCAAACAAATATATTGAGGAATCGAAGCAGCTAGAACAATATTATATATATAAATGTACATACTATTCAAACCTATTTTACATATACATAATCATCCTATATATTCACATAATTATATATAATATCATATATAATATTTTATATAGTTCATCAACTTATATCACTTGAGCATTAACTATCATAACTATTATATCTAACTATTTATCATAACCATTATATATATATGGGTGAACTATAATATTTCACTTTCCTCTTTGAGGGTGATTCCTCTTATTAATCATGATACAGTGAGGGAGAACAGTGAGGTCGTTATAATTTACCCAGATATATCATGGTTCCCATATATATATATATATACAGATTATATAACCATCTACGATAATCCGGTGTTCCCTAAATGAGTTTTAGTACCCCAAAACCATTGGTATGTTGTCTATTATCTATCTATCTATCTATCTATCTATCTATATATATTTATACATATTATATATTATACATATTATATATTATACATATTATATATATATATACGTATTATATATTATACATATTATATATTATACTACCATCACATCTCCATAGCTTGGACGTCCATCCTGGGCTCCTGGGGCTCCCCTGGGACTCCCAGCTGCACAGTCAGGAAAGCAAAGGCCCACCGCCAGGATACCAAAAAGGCCACTCGCTGCATGGACAGGGACCTGAAGCGAAAACCTTGCGAAAACGTCTATCTGTATATGGAATATATATATATATATATTCTGTATATATGATTAATGGGATATATATCTAATGGGATAGATTAATCCGGATTATGGAATTGAATGGGATATATATATATATATATATATATATATCTGTATATGGGATAGATATCCGGATTATATATATATATATAAAATACTGGTTGGTGGTTGAGCCTAACCCTCTGAAAAATATTAGTCAGTTGGGATTACGACATTCCCAATATATGGAAAAGTAAAAAATGTTTTTGCGCCGGACGCTACGTTGCCGCTCTGGTAAGCGCAGATGCGGCCGAACGTGTGCGGCGCATCAAATGCCGTGGACATGTTCCAACAGTTTGCCAGAACCTGTAGCCGGCGACCCCAATTGCTTTTGAAGAAAAGACTCAACCTGATGAAAAATGTCATCACGTAATTGGAAACCAAGGGCCCCACGATGACAACAAACCCATTGAGAAAACGGACGGGTGGTGCAAGTGACAAAACCAACTCTGGCATCCCTGAGAAACTGTTGGATCATCAGTCGGAACCACTTTGTCCGGACTGAGAGTTTCACATGGTTCAAAAGTCGCGCAGCCTCGCCCTTTGCAACTTCCCAATTTCCATCGCGTTTTGCAACAGAAATTGGTCCTACCTGCCACTGAAACGTGATGAAAAGATGGAGGAACGAAACCCATCTCAGCGGACCCTCGGGACTACGGATGCTGAAAAACCACTGGCGGACGGCATCGGCAAGTTCATTACCAAAGTACCTGCAGAACGTTTTGCCATGCAAAGCGAGGTCTTCGGAGGCCTCCCATTCCAGTGTCGGGACATTGCAAGCTGGCTTCGGACTGGGGTGAGCGGCAGGGACAGTAGACCGACAAGACATGGACGTGGACCACAGACGACTGACAGCGACAATGTGGCGACGAACAAGCTTGGCAATCCACTGGTTTTCGGCAACCTGGCGAGAGTGTGCCTCCCAAAGGTTCCAGAAAGCAGGGCCGCGGGATTGGTTAGCAGCACCAGCAGCGGCATCAGCAGCTTCGTTGCCAGCAAGGAGCCACAAGTCAAGCTCGGAGGTGTAGTCGCTCTTTTTCTGGTGAGCAGGAACTTTCAAAATGGCAATTTTCTCAAGTCCAATCTCCCGAGCTAACCGCTGCATCTCACGCAAAAGGTCAGAGTGCTTGGAGTTCAGATTGACCGGGTGTCCATCACTGACATATTTATGAAAGGCTGAGATAGCACTTGCGCTGTCGCTCCAGATCCTGGCCCAAACTCCAAATTTGGCCACTATGGTGAGGGCAGCAACAATCGCCTGAAGTTCGGCACGGTAGGCAGACTGCAAGACACCTGCCAAAGGCTGTGCAATGAGAGGGCGGAAACCACTCGGAGAAAAGTCCAAACAAAAAGGCGACGCATGCACCACAGAAAACGCAGCCACTCGACACCAGGGATCACGAGGAAACAAACAGCTACCATCAGAGAAAAGATCCAAGATGCGCCCAGGTGGCGGCTGATGGGGCACTGGAAAGGACATGGGCAGCTCAGACAGGTAACGCAACCAAGGAACCCACAAGGATGACTGCAGAGTCCACCCGTGTTGAGCTACGACCGCCGGCAAAGTGGGCAGGATCTGGTGGAACTCCTCCGGCAATTGAGATCGCAACAAGGAAGACTTCGGACAATCCCACAGCCTGTGAGCCACAGAGTCAACTCCACCACATTGAGAACAACAGGCAACCCCCGTTTCAGACCAGTGTTGGACATGGTCATTTGTAATCAAGGCACCATGGCGGAACTTGCGAAGGACTCCTTGATCAAATCCATCGAACGTACGGTAGTCCGATCGAGTGGCAACGACATCAACCTGAGCAAAACCTTGGAAGGTCGGTCGATGGGCAATTTTGGAGGCCACAACCCGGATCCAAGACTGCTGAAACCTTGCAACCAGCTCACCAAACGCACAATCAAGGAACGAAAACTTTCCAAGAGCATCTTCGGCCTGACCACATGGCAAAACGTGGAACCCAGCCTGATGAAGGCGTTGACACAAAATCTCGGACAAAGAGTTAAACGTAGGGGTTTCAGCACTCAGTGGGCCTTGCTGAAGGTCAAGAGTGACCAAACTGTGACTACCCATGCTTCTGGCATCACGGATCGTTTCAAGGATGGCATACGCTTGGGGATCAAAAGACAACCCTTCCAAACAACATTGCACATCGGGATTTGCCCCTGGTTTTTGTTGGCCAAGCGACTGCATCAGCGCAGTGCGAAGGGCATCAAAGCGTCGTTTTTTTCCCACCACAGCAGCTGAGACTGCGTGCAGTGCACGAGGCCATGCCACTCTGGTAACCAGCAACACCTTTTGTTTGTAGGCTATGGAGGCAGACCCAAGCTTAGTCCAAAAGTCGTCAAGGCCATGGATGCGGTCAAGCAAAGTGCCGTTGGAAAGTTGTCGGGTGTAAACCACGTGTGCCCCCAAATCTCGAGTAGCGTTGACCACACGAAAACCTTGAGCACGGAGAGCAGCACGACCCTGGCGATCAGCTGACCATGTGAAGCACTTCTTCGCATCGAGCTTTATCTGAAGCATGTCTGCAAACTTGTCAACAGCTGCACAGGCCTTGGACATGGCTTCGGGGGACTCCAACAGCACAGCCCAATTGTCCACATAGGAAATGGGCTTGAACGTCATGTCAACAGCCCGGACCCAAACATGAAACAGGTGGGTGAGGCTGACCATGGCCAAACAGGACAAAGCACAACCCTCGGGAAATCCATTGCAAGACCCAACCCCAGGTGAATATGACCCTTGGATGACGAAATGACGTCGGAAACCAGCAAGCGCACCTGACCATGCAACAAGGGTGCCTTGATCAACGCCAAACAATTTTGCCGCAGTGATGGCTGGCAGCCGGGGCAGATCATTAAAAGCTTTCACAATATCAGCCGTGAAGCCGCATGCTGGTCGGTCACCACGGTGCGCAGCTTCAACGGTTTCAAGCACATGTCGCCATACCATTGCTGCACGGCCACCTGTGGTGCTTCCAAAAAGAAATGGGTCAACAAGTTGGCTGACATGGCGAAGCCAGTGTTTGGCAGCAATCGAGGACCACGCTCTGTAGAGGAAGCTAAACACAGTTATTGGGCGATAATGGCCGACAGTCTCTGGTTCCGGGATTTTAGCCAGAGACCGGACATATCCATGGAGGATTTGTTCAGGCCAAGCTCCATGTGTGCATGCATGACCATAGATTTTGAGCAAAATGGCCAGGTCAGCATCATGCAGGGAGAGGACATCCTTGCGGGAAACTCCATCCAACCCTATCGCAGCATGTTTGGACTTCCGTTGTGCACACCGACGCAAAGACTGCACAGTGACCTCAGGGGGTGGGGCAGTGACAGGACGGAGATGTGCAGAGGCAAAATCCAAAATAGCTTGCCATTGTGACGGGGGAACAGATTCATGACGATTCCACAACCGGGCCCACTGAGACTCAAACGCGCTGAAAAGGTCATCGAGTTGCCCAAGTTGAGATTTTTGCCACACAGTATGCCCCTCAACAACCCCATGACACGAATCAACCCAAACTTTGTCGGCTTCAGCATGGATGATCTGGTGCAAACCCGCTTCAGAGACCAGAGGTTGCTGGTCATTGAACTCTGTGGGAGTTGTGAGCTCCAAGGCGCATTCATCCTCATCTACCAAACCGACAACGCCAGAAACCGTAGCAACCAGGGAGTCAACTTGGGCAGGCGCATCGCGACGGACAGAAGCATACATGGCTTGAGCATCAGAAGCTTTGAGCAGCCGCTTGGCATGGGAACGGGACCGCATCAGGGCTTTTTCAAGCAAATCCACTTCTAGTTCAAGGCCCAAGTAGAACAGGGAAGCTTGCGCAGCGACAGGGGGCTGAAGTGGGACAGCAGGAGGTTCCCCAATCCCCAATTCACGAGATGACCACCACTCACTAAAGGACGGGACAAATCCACGGGCAGACCTGATGGCAGACCACAAACTATGCACATGGGCACAATGGGAGGCCGTTTGCACAGGAGCCCTGGCTAACCGGACAAACGACTGCAGGCGACGAAGTTGTTTGGTCCATTGGACATGCTGCAGACAGCTACCCAAAAACATTGGTTGCCGATCACCCGGCCGGCTGGCCTTGAGTGGCGGAACTTGCATGGTACGGACCTGAGGCTCCAGGACAGAGGCACGCCCATTCATAGCACGGATTTCAGGTTTCCGGTTGCGACGACGAGCCTCATTGTTGTTGGCTTCTGCATGGACCCAGAACCGAAGGTGTCAGACGTGACATCAGACCCCGGACAAAACAGCGGACCTGAAACAGGGCAGCGACTTTCAACGGGTTCCCAATCCATCTGGTCAGGAAGAGGCCAGGAATACCGGAGCAAATCACGACCCCCATGGAAGTGGCAGATCAGGGCTGCATGGTCTGACACGGTGTTGTCGTCAACTTCGCAACGATCGAACAACGCACAGAGTTCCCGGGACATGAAGAGGAAATCACGACGTGTCTTGCCCCTGCAAGTGGCTTGTGGAAGGATTCCGGTAAGCCGGGCATGGACATCTTGGCATTCTTCATACTGCAAACGGGACAAGACAGAGACAGCAGGCAGCCGATCAAGGTCATGGTTGAAGTCTCCTGCGACAAAGCATGGCCCATGAAGAAGGTTAACCATGGCAATGGCTAAGGACAAGAGCTCATTCGTGACGTCGCGTCCATTCACATGGGTGTGCCCAGTAGGAGTGCCATAAACCACCACGCCAGAAACCCAAATCCCTTGACAGCAAATGGACACACAGACCAGGCGGCCAGAGCGATACACCACATCAGGCCACTGGTGGGACAACCTGCGCACGGGGTATTTCGAAAGGACACCAACCCCAGACCATTGACCAATGTCACTGACTTCAGACCTTGCTGGCACCGGTGAACCACCAACGA